GCAGCAAAAAGCTTTTTATATAAATGTATATTGATTTGGATGTTTCTGAATTTTTATTTTTTATCATATACTCAAAACAGAAAGAAAACGTGTTCGAGAACTGGTCGCGAGAAAATTGAAGCTGAAATATTCGATATTCTATGAAATATCAGTCCTCATGAATGTTTTTCTTGAGATCGTTATTTTTATCTGTAATGTCAACCAATATTGATAACCTAATTCTGTTATGCAGACCTTAATTGCACTGATTGGCCATCTTTTATAAAATGTTTTTGAGTCAGTTATAAAATTGATCTCTGGCTGATAGTTCTGGGCTTGCTATTCATTATGTGCTTTATAATGTACACAAGTCAATGTAAGCTTTTTCCTGTATTCCTAATGATCGGGAGCAAAAAGAACAATCATGATAGAAAATGTATTTGTTCTGAACAAAACCAGGAGTAAGAAGTAATGACCAGAAAGTGTAGCTTTACATACATCGGCCATTAGGTTTCTATAGCCAATAACCAGTATTCAGTAAGAAGTAATGATTGACCAGAAAGTGTAGCTTTACATACATCGGCCATTAGGTTTCTATAGCCAATAACCAGTATTCAGTAAGAAGTAATGATTGACCAGAAAGTGTAGCTTTACATACATCGGCCATTAGGTTTCTATAGCCAATAACCAGTATTCTTAAATATATCTTAATCTCTATCAGAGCTTTTAAGTATGCAATGCATCTTAATGACACCTGAACGATTTCTGCTGATAAATCCGTAAAAAGATTCAATTGTAAAGTAATTGAATATTGTGCATATAAATTTTATATAAAATTGAAATATTCTCTACTCTTGATACATTTTCCGTGAGTAAACATAATTTGGACTGATGCAATAGATTTATGGAGTTTTACTTCACATATATTTTGCTGTATTCATTTCGAAAAAATTAAACACCAGCTTTAGACTTATTACCCTTACTCTACCTGAGTCGTATTTGGACTGACATATTTACACCGATTGTTAAAACTTAATGTTTTGCACTTATTTTGATTACAGATTACACAGGCAAAAGTGGCTTGCATAAATTTTTATAGCAAATTCATATGAAATTTATGTGAAATCTTTGCACGAGAAAGAGACAAAAAAAAAACAAGACACTTGAAATTTATGTGAAAACTTCATGGGACTTTGATATAACTTTCATATGAGTTTTACACAGCATATCTCTGCTTTATTACATAAATATCGTGTAAAGAAAAATTCACTTGAAAAAAAAAAAAAAGTGAATATTGCACAAACCAATTCACATGATACTCGCATGAATTTTTTTTTTATAATTCCCCGTGTACTCTGTTTACATGATGAGTACAGAGGGATGCTTACTTCTGGGCATCTGATCCCACTTGTGTTTCCAAGGGTCTGCGTTTCTTATTGTTATTCTTATCGTTTACAGAATTTTTTAGATTGATCACTGCTCGTTAACTTTTTCATTATATATATCAACAATGTCTACATGAAAGATGGATCGTCATCTAAGAGACAATTATAGAGTGATAAATCTGGTTATTCATTTGCTAGAAAATTTCTTTACTGTCCAAGTAAATAATGTTCATGGCTTTTACTTTTATATCTTGAAATATATCATGTATTTTAGCCATCAAAGAAATAGTAATCTTTAATTTTATAATAGCAAGAGAACTTTATTGCTGCCTGATGTCCCTAGCACAGTTTTACTTTCTATAGATAAGATGTTAGTGAATATGTAGATTCTTTAATACTATTCTCTAATTTTATACTCGTTAATCAAAGACCAGTGTAATGAACAAAATAGTACTACACTGGATATCTTTTTCTATATCATAGAGAAAAGATGCTAAACAATGAACTTTTAAATATAAATGCCTCTTATTCATACTTAAATCATATGCAGAATTGCAGGAGGGATTGAAACAGTTTTCTAAAGGGTGAGTCTGGCTTTTTTCTTTTAAAGATAAAGCATACTTCACTTCATATAACAATAAATTGACACAGAAAAATCCACGAAATTGTGTACTACTGGTTTATTCCAAATTATCTACTCGTAATTTGTGAAATGAACATATATCGATCACATAAAATGCGCCTTAGTTACTACACTTTCAAACTCTGTTCACGATGATAGCTGCTAGAACGCCAAGAGAGCATGTTCTTTTTTTTTATAGATAATGCAGGTCTTGTTTTATAGGACGGAAGCATGGTCCAGAGCAATTGCTAATTGAAATACAAACAGGCAAATGTCAGGTCGGTATTAGTTATGACATTGTATGTTGTTCAAGCAACAGGCTGCATTTTATTAATACAATAAGTTTTCAATAGTTTAATTTAAGTATTGTCTTGAGCAGAATATTTGACCTTTGTATAATGTATTCCTATGTTAATTTTCGTAATATTCACATTATATGGGTTGCCTCTCTCTCTCTCTCTCTCTCTCTCTCTCTCTCTCTCTCTCTCTCTCTCTCTAAAAATCAAAAAAGTAAAATTACCATAGTAAATGTCAGGGGAATCTTTAAGTAAAGTAACATAGCACCTTGCATGAAAGCAAAAAAGTTTTTTAGCTTTAAATATTAAAATTTAGGAGTTTTAGAATAAATAAATTTTTTATTTTAATATGATATTTTGGTGAGATTGAATGAAGATAACGAATAGTGATCGATCTACAAAAAAAAACTTTCCAATAATAAAGATCTGTAAACAGGTAATAATACGCGGACCACTGGAAATTCCAGAGGTGGGATAAGGTGCCAAGAATGAATAAGCAATCCCTATCGACCAGTCACACCCGTGAGCCATCGGTATTAATTTATCGGGTAGACGGAAAATTCCTTAGTCAAATTTAGTATAAGAACAAAGGTCTGACAATTGGTATGAAATAGATTAGCCAAAATACGACCCAATGATATGTTATATTGGCTAACAAGTTCATTATGAAGACAATAGAATTTACTAAATGCTGATTTTGAGGTTGCTGAAATCTTTGTAACATGAACTTTCCTGTCAGTAGCCTGCCTTGGTTTAAAAATTGATCGCACTCAGAGCATGCTCTTGAGTATCGAATAAGGTGGGAGACGTAAACACCAAATGCAGGTGATTGCGGGATATTACTACATAAATAAGGAAAGTTGACGATGGAAATTGTATTTACACCATTTCGCTAATCAGTTTTTCTTAGTGTCGCCATACCTTTTTTTATTTTTTAAGTTTATTTTCTGAACTCTAAAAAAATTAATTGCTATGGCGAAGCCAAAAATGTTCCCTGTTTCACACGAAGCTTTATTTGTAAAAATATTGCATTATTTTCATCTGCATAGAATAATTACACATCAATTTTTTCCCGTACGCAAGTAGGTCGTAAAACAACTGTTTTCTGTAAACTGATATTTAAGTTTATGTTAAACTGACATAGAATTTTATATTCCCTAAAGATATGTTTATATCCATCAGATAAAATTTTATACTGCAATTCCACTACTGCTAATCTATTTCATTATTTCACTCTCTAGATGAACTATTATAAAAATATTAATATGGATAATCTCTAGGAGAAAATAGTAAAGTTTTATAAGAGAAAAAAATGCGATGAAAACAAGATTGAATTATATCTTCCACTTTTAAGGGACATTATATCTATTTATTTAGGAAAGCTATGAAATTAATCTCAGGAAAAAGAAGATGAAACTCCATAAATGGATAATATAATTAAAAAATATAAACGTCGACCACAGAAAACTTTTTCTACTTTCTTATTGACTTATAATCAAAAGTTTTTGTATAAATTTGTTTAGTTATTTTGTAATTCTAACATTACAGCATTCTTTCCAGATAAAGAAATATTTCTTAAAACGGATTTTCATTTTGATGCTTAAAAATAAGCAATTCTGCCAATGTTACACATATTAAATGTAAAATTGCAAATAAATCAAGTCTTCAGATTTGCTTGCTAATGTTTTTCAAACTTTTTTTCCCATAAAGAGACTTTTAATTTGAATTAATGTAGATATCCTTGATGTAAGTACATGTAATTTCATGATTTTATGTTGTTTAACGTTCCATTCGAAATTTTTTCATTCATATAGAGACGTGAAGGGTTTCAAATTTAGACTTATATTCTGCACTCAGGGCCATTGAGCAGTTGGGGTTCTTTATCGTGCAAACGCCAACTGTGACACGGGACCTCGGTGTTTAAGGTCTCATCCAAAAGACTCAAGACTTTCTCTTCTAGTGCCTGGCGAAGGAACAGTCACTACCTATGTTTATGTCTCAGGTTTGACGTGGCGCGGCGAACAAGAATCAAACTCGGCCCCCGCAATCACGAATTGAGTGATCACCACTAGCCTACCATGACCGGTATAAGTAATTTCAAAGAGAAAAGATAATTAATCCATATTTGACATATCCTAAATAGAAATGATTTTGATCAGAAATGGATTTTTGTTTCGAAGAAATCTTCATTTATATAACACAAAGCCTCAATATATGTCAAACTAAGTAATGTTTTCATTCTCAAATTACAAACCATTCTTAACTCTTTTAAAGAAGTACAGAAAAGAATGGCATGAATAACGGGATCAAAGCAAAAAACATCACATTTCATGGACGGGTTTGAAAAGTTTATTCATAAGTTTTAGCTATTTGCATTGAAGTTTATATGGAAATTCACTGCTTTGATCATTCCTACGCGTTTGAAAATTTACCATCTCGAAAAGAAACACTAATTTTAAAGCAGATATGATTAGAATTTCTCAAGAGGACGAAGACAAATTTTAAAAACAAATTGTATCTAGTTTATTTAACTTTGTCCACAATTCTCGTGTATCAGTTGCTCAATTTCTTATCTTTTATTATTTAATATTTTATACTCATATAAAATTAAGCAATATGAAGTCCATCTTGTAAATCTGTTCCATTAAAAATAAACTTTATTTCAGTTGTATACAAATTCAACACAAGATACCCAAACTGAAAGTTTCTTTTCCTTACCTTGAATTCCCAATATGTGCATGTATTAAACCAATGCTAGTTGCTGAAATTTCAACATCCTTACAGAATGTCTACCACACTTCATTGCTTACAGCTCGCTACTAGAACTTCCAATGACAAGCTGCTATTGATGTATTCAAGCGACATGGTCATCAGGCGTGAAGTGGAACCTCTCCAATCGATAGTTTCAATACTGATGCCAGCAGCATTTAAATTCGAATTTCTGTCCAGAGATTCTGCGTCACTGTTTCCTGTGGTGTACCATTATATTGTTATAGTCATGAATAACTTTAAAAAAATATTTTCTTGAAGGTGCAGCCCTGATTTACTTACCATTTACTATCACGTATGAATAGAATACAATGTTAATCATAGTCAGGACTGTAATCAGCAATTTTCGGTGAATTCTTGTGATACAAAATCAGTTCATTCTGATCAATGTTCATGGTCAACTAACGTTTACAAATTCACTAGAAGTCAGTTTAATCATCATTGTACATAGCCAAATAACTTCACAAATTCACTAAGTCATTTCATGATGACTATACATGGTCAACTAACTTTAATAAGTTCACTACGTCAATTTTCTGATCAGTGAACCAATCATCAAACTGATTATTCTGTAATTGAAATCAATTGGATTGACTTATTAGCAGTGTTCAACGTCAGATAACTCCGAGTGGTGTACAAAATTAAATATAATTAAAGTACCCTTGTAATGAAATGTAAACAAACATCAAGTATTTTATTAACTTATTTTTATTCGTCTTTGGTGCCATGGCAATACACGTATTATAATTATAATTTGAAAATTATTTTTTTTTAGTGTTGTCAAATCGGACGATTTTTAGTAAGCGGTTACTCGCTTACTCTTCCGATCGAGTACCCGGTTACTCGGATGATTTTTCATTACAGTTTCAATACCTATTATTTATCTCGATCCTATACTTATCGGTAGAAATAAAATACAAATGTATTGTTTATGAACTTTATTTACAATTACAAACTCAAACACACACACTTCTCAAAGAATTTTGATTTCAGATGTCACTTGAAACGGGCAGTTTGTTTTTGTATATGAAAATAATTTAATCAGCACACGAAGAATTAAGACAGATAGTCGTCAACCACCATTTTTACAATGGCTCTCCTTACCTTTTCAGTCCCCCCGGTATAATTAACATTAAATTATTAATTAATATACCCCATCATTTTTCGTTGATTTGGGGAGTGTCCAGTAAATCGCTGGTTTCCGAATTACGTTTTAATCTCAGGTGATTTAATAAATTTGTAGTCCCACCCGTATGCGATACCTCCAGTTCATATAATTTACATTTTACAGATTTTGAATAAGCTGTATGTTTAAAATACTTCCAAGCTTTATATGTCTGCGATGACAACTTGTAAATTATGTTCCTCTGACTAGCACGGGTGTAAATGAGGTAATTATAACTCAGGTCTTCAAAACTTGTATACGCCATGGCAATCTAAGCTATCAATTATATAAACTGTGAAAACTAGTCAAAACAAATCGATCAAGTCTAACGGTAAATAAAATTAGGGAATTGTGTTAGTATACGTTTATAAACAAAATAACATTTATTTTGCATGTATTTACTATTTAAAATGTATTTTTATCCGAGTAACCGAGTAGCAGTTTTACTAACCGATACTCACATTGTTCGACGGTTAACCGTTTGACCGGGTACTCGTTGACAACACTAATCTTTTTTATTTTTCATAATCTGTGCACACTACACATATACCTCTCTCTATCTCTCTTACCATATATCCTGGATTCCTAATCTAAATAAATACCTTACAAGCAAAGATACATAACAGGTTCTAGTAAATGTTCTACCAAGCCTCTTTCTTTACTCTTCACCAAAATATTAACAGGAGTGAATGGGAAAACTTCAGGAATACTGTACAACAATATAATCGAGATGTGGTTTAAATCATTTGTGGATACTTAAAAACTCCAAAGAACTTTTAGAGAATTTGAAATCATCAAATTTTACGTATCTTTTCATTGGTCATTTGCAAAATTATTTTGTTGAAAAACATTCTGATTGTACACACAAGTACTCTGAAGCTGATAATAAAAAGATGCTTCTGATTGGCAATATCTATGTAGTTTTTTGAGATCAGGTCTTCCTACAATCTGTCGGATTTCCCATTGGAACCAACTGCGCCCCGTTATAAGTAGTCCTACTTTTGTATTTATATGAAGCAGAATTTAAAAGAAAAAGACACTTGCTGTGGCCTTCAACTCAACATTTAGATATTATCAATTAGTTACCGCCATTCATATATCGACTCAATATACCCAGTGAACTTGAAATAAAAGATATCACAGTGTCTGATACATGTACATCAGTTTCATATTTAGATATTTTACTAGAAAAAGACGTTCATGGTAACCTAACAACAAACCTTTATGACAAATGTGATGACTTCAACTTTTCTATCGTCAACTTCCGTTCCCTTAATTATGTAGCAATATACCCTTGTCTTTAGCATATGGGGTTTACATCTCCCACTTGATTCGATACGCAAGAGCATGCTCCACGTACGGACATTTTTCTAAAACAAAGGCAAGCTATTGACAAACAAGGATATCAATCGTTTTAAGTCATCATTTCGCAAGTTGGTCGATATGGTCGATACAATGACCTTGTCAGCAAATATAATCTATCATTAAGTCGTCCGATCATGACAATGAGCACATGGTGGGTGTGACCGAACGACAGGGGATGCTTACTCCTCCATGGCACTTGATTCCACCTCTGATGTTTTTTGGAGGTCAGTGTTTGCTCTGCTCCTGATCTGTATGGTTTCATTGGACTTGAGCTTGATTACTGTTCCTTCTCTCTCTCTCTCTCTCTCTCTCTCTCTCTCTCTCTCTCTCTCTCTCTCTCTATATATATATATATATATATATATATATATAGTGGAATCATTTTAATTCCGGGGGGGGGGGGGGTCATTATTTATAACGGTGAAAGGCTACAAAATCACATCTATATTCGGCACTCTGGGGCACTGAGGAGTGATGGTTCTTTAATTATCTCGCTAACGCCTAACATTACTTGGAACTTCGGTTTTTAAGGTCCCCACCGGAAGGACCCCTGACGTTCATTTCTAACGTCCGGCGCTTTGCAAAGCAACAATCAATACCTATGTTTACTTCTTAGGTTTGACGCAGCGAGGCGAACATGAATCGAACCCGGGTGTCCCGGTCACAAAGCGAACGCCCTACCACTAGGCTACCGTGATTGGTTTATTGAATTATTACAGGAAAAAAGTGGTAAATTATAATAAAATAAGAATATTGGGGATTTGATTTAGTAGTTGAAAAATTGTAGAGATGTCTTAATTACAATTTTAACACATTGTGGAGAACATGAATCCGTGTCCCTCTTTATACCTCGAAAACAACAAAAATTAATCCCTCGAGAAAAGTAGTCATTTCACAGTATGCCTATTTATCTGTATCAGTTAGCTAGAGGCTTGAATAAATGAAAGGGTTTATTATATTTTTTTCAATTCCATTTATTATTAAATGTAACATATCATTTATTCAAATCGGAAAACGCATAAAATATTAGATGGGTTTTAAGTTTGATACATTGTTAAAGCAGTAGTAATTTGGATTTTCAATACACAAATTCACTTAAGAGAATCATTAATTTTATCTCCATGTAGTCAATTGGATATTGTAAAAGTTAGTTTTGTTAACTGCTCACATGACGCAACAGACTACTTTGCTTGCTTTGAAGGCTCCTGTAATTTTTTTCAGAAAAATGTAACCGATTATGAACTGTTATCAACCTCTCAAATTCTCTAACAAAACAAAATATGAAGAGGTCAAAATTACAGACCTCAAACGCCGTCATCTCTCTGTATTGATCAGCTAAACGGAAGTATTCGTACCCCATATAGTATTAAAGCAATGACCTAAATATTGGTATGAAATGTGTCAGTCAAATTACGACCAAACGGAAGGTTGTATATGCAAACAAGGTCAATAGGAAGAGCATAGTGTTTGCAAAATGCTGACTTTAAACGATTATTGAAAGCCCTGTAGCATTAACCTGTATGTCAGTAGTCTGTCTTAATTGAAATATTGATCGTATTCAGTTGTTGCTTACCTCGTTAATTGGGAGATAAAAACACAATATGCAGGTGCTGAATTCATCCAATCTGATATATAGCTTAGTTAGTAGTTGAAATTGACCATTAACGTCTAGTCAGTTTAACATCCAAACAAGGAATAGATGTGGCAGACTCTGTGGTATCTTTTGTTTTGAAATCAATGGGATACATAGAATCGAAAAATAAATGAAAGCACATTTTAACTTTTATTAATCAACTGATAAAACAGCGTTGATATATCTGACAAAAAAGGTGAAGATGGTGATCAGTTATTGATCTCTCATGAATCCTTTTTATAGGAAATGTGAACAATTCAAAAACATGGATTCCTGGAGATGCCAGGTGTGGGATCAGGTGCCAAATGAGGAGTACTCATCCCCTGTTGACCTGTGACACTCAGTGTGAACCCTCGTATTGATCAGATAAACTAATGAAAAAGGTGAAGATAACGAACAGTGATCAATCTCAAAAAAATCTATAAACAATACAATTCTGTGAAGAGGGCATAAAATACGGACCCCTGGAAATTCCAGAGGTGGGATCAGGTGCCTAGGAGGAGTAAGCATCCCTTGTTGACTGCTTACATCCGCCGTGACCCTATGTATTGATCAGGTAGATGGAACATTCCGTAGTCAATTTCAGTATAAAAACAAAGGCATAACAATTGGTATGAAACAAGTCAGCCAAAATTCAACCCAATGATAGGTTATATTTGCTAACAAGGTCATTATAACAACCATAGAATTTAAGAAATGCCGACTTTAAACGAGGTTGTTGAAATTACTGTAACATTAACTTATCTGTCAGTAGCCTAATTGATCGTACTTGGAGCATGCTCGAGTATCGAATAAGTTGGGAGATGTAAACACCATATGCAGGTGATAGCAGAATATTACTACATAAATACATAAATATGAAGTGGGGAAAGGGGGCATTCTTTATGCTTTGTAAACAAGTTACCTCTCTCAATTCTTTCCACAGTGCAACATCCTTCATGCAATATTTATAGAAGTTACAATCAAACAAAACATTAAAAGGGCTGTTTTGAATATTAATTCTCTGATGCTCCTAATGCACTCTCCTAAAAATTTTTCATTTGATATTATTTGTTGGTCTTTTCATACGTTTCATAGAGTTAATTGTGCTGGTAATCGAATCTAATACAAGATCATAACAGCTTTCAGAAGCTTCATCTTAGAGTAGGGGCACCCTGATTAAAATTTGGAATCATTACAGATATAATTTGGCACCATTACAGATATAATTTGCCAATGCTTTCAAAAGGTTTACCAAAAAATTTCAAAGATCCTGAATTATTGAATTTCAAACATCTTTTTTAAAAAATCTATAACATTTTCGATGTACATCATGTAAGGCAGGTTAACAAACAAATGAACCCTAAAGTCTTGCATGTTCCCTTTGGACAAAGTTTTGAATTTTTGAAAAATATTTTATGAATAATACCATTGTTGGAAAATTAACAATCAAATTTTCTATTTCACTACCAAATGCAATTTCGTTATATAAATGTCAACTTTGAGACCCCTTTTTTAAATGTCTATTCTTATGATTTTTGCAAGTTTAGCAAACTAATAATTCAATAATTTGTTATATTTAATACGGCAAACAGTAAAAACATAAAATTGGTAGGAAAATTTTAAAAAATCACATAAGGTATGTACAATATACATATGAGATCTGTCAGCATTGTAGCTTACGACACTGACCAGCAATAAATATCACTAACAGGTATTCATGGCATATAAGGGAAGAAAATGCACAGTCCTCTTATCCCTTAAACAACCGTCCTGTGTAAAGACACTTTGTATGTGTGTGTATGAACATTTTGGTCTGTGTGTCAGTCTGTCTTCTCTCCTTCTTTTGGTTTCTTTGTTTCTGTTTTTTGGACATCCACCACTCGGACACCATCCCTATCGATGGCAAAGTCGTAATCTGCTGACGTCTCCAGGCTCTCTAACAATCTCTGTTCTACATTGTCTGGGGTAAGGAAACCCACTTCCTATCAATAGAAAAAAATCAATGCTTTAGTTCAGACAGTGAAAAATTCTGTCAAACACTTAGCCTTGTCAATCAAAGTTATAAATGTCTGGATTCCTTCTCTTCACTTGTAACAGGACTGGAATCAAACCAAGAACCTCTGCATCACTAGTAAGATGCTCTCACCACAAAGCTCTGAGAACTGTTCACTGATTGTTCTCACCTTTTCTCTCTTCAGTCGTTTTATGGTTTCCTCTGAGAACTGTTCACTGATCACTTGTTCTCACCTTTTCTATGTTCAGTCATTCAGTGGATTCCTCTGAGAACTTTTTCACTGATCACTTGTTCATACCTTTTCTCTATTCAGTCGTTTTATGGTTTCCTCTGTGAACTGTTTACTGATCACTTGTTCATACCTTTTCTCTATTCAGTCGTTTTATGGTTTCCTCTGAGAATTGTTCACTGATCACTTGTTCTTCCCTTTTCTCTGTTCAGTTGTTTTATGGTTTCCTCTGTTCACTGATCACTTGTTCTAACCTTTTCTCTGTTCAGTCGTTTTATGGTTTCCTCTGTGAACTGTTCACTGATCACTTGTTCTTACCTTTTCTCTGTTCAGTTGTTCAATGGATTCCTCTGAGAACTGTTCACTGATCACTTGTTCTAACCTTTTTCCTGTTCAGTCGTTTTATGGTTTCCTCTGTGAACTGTTCACTGATCACTGGTTCTTACCTTTTCTCTGTTCAGTCGTTTTATGGTTTCCTCTGTTCACTGATCACTTGTTCCTCCCACTTCTCTGTTCAGTCGTTTTATGGTTTCCTCTGTGAACTGTTCACTGATCACTTGTTCTTACCTTTTCTCTGTTCAGTTGTTCAATGGATTCCTCTGAGAACTGTTCACTGATCACTTGTTCTAGCCTTTTTCCTGTTCAGTCGTTTTATGGTTTCCTCTGTGAACTGTTCACTGATCACTTGTTCTCACCTTTTCTCTGATCAGTCGTTTAAGGTTTTGCCAAATGTCAAGATGTCCAAAAATTTATTTTTACAATAGCTCCAAAACTATGTGAGGTATAAAGTTAAAACTTTTACAGTTTATAATATACCATTGATTAACAGATAAAAAGTATCCCTTGAAAACAAATATTTAAATTTTTTTTTTTTGTAAAAAAAAAAAAAAAAAAAAAATTGCATATTTAAAAAAACTGCACCTGCTTAATTCTGTACTTTTAGTGACTACCATCATTGCACAAATAATATATGTTTATCAATGAAGGGCAAGTTGGATGTGAATGGTCTCTGAAAGGCTGTTATTGAAAGCATGACATGTATAAAGACAAGACCCCTATAAAATCCGCCATTTGCAATGTACTTTCGGTTTCAAATCTTAACATTTGGACAAAAAAACAGGGAAAACAACTTTCCAGAGGATATCGAAGTCCAACTTGCCCATTATTGATAAACATATATTGTTTCTGCAATGATGGCTTTAACTAAAAGTACGGAATTAATAAGGTGTATTTTTAAAAAATTATATGCATTTTTTTAAAAGAATTTTCTCAATAAATATTTTTTTAATTATTTGTTATCAAGTGATACTTTCTATCTGTTAATCAATGATATATTTATAAACTGTAAAAGTTTTAACTTTATAAACCACATAGTTTTGGAGCTATTGTAAAAATAAATTTTTGGACATGTTGACCTCTGAGAATTGTTCACTGATCTCTTGTTCTTACCTTTTCTCTGTTCGGTCATTTAATGGTTTACTCCGAGAACTGTTCACTGATCACTTGTTCTTACCTTTTCCCTGTTCAGTCGTTTAATGGTTTCCTCTGTTCACTGATCACTTGTTCTTACCTTTTCTCTGTTCAGTCGTTTGATCGTTTCCTCCGTGAACTGTTCACTGATCACTTGTTCTAAACTTTTCTCTGTTCAATTGTTTAATGGTTTCCTCTAAGAACTGTTCACTGATCACTTGTTCTTACCTTTTCTCTGTTCAGTCGTTTTATGGTTTCCTCTGTGAACTGTTCACTGATCACTTGTTCTAACCTTTTCTCTGTTCAGTCATTTTACAGTTTCCTCTGTTCACTGATCACTTGTTCTAACCTTTTCTCTGTTCAATTGTTTAATGGTTTCCTCTAAGAACCAGGGCTCTACATTAACTTTTTTTCCTACTTGTCCATTCGGACAAGTGACCAAGACATTTACTTGTCCGAACTTCAACTTCACTTGTCCAAAATTTTTTCAATAAAGGTCTAATTCGGTCAACTTGAAAACCATTACTTAAAATAAAGTCCATTTTATACGTGCTTGATTGATTTGTGTTGTTACTGATAAATACAACAAACACATAAAATAAAATTTTATCTAGACTTCCTGTCCTGACAACAACATAAATGTTCACAAGTGAATCTGTCAACATCAAACAGAATCCAAACATCGTAAGATCCATGCCTTGAAGTAGTATGCAATTAGTGAACATCGATCCCGATCAAGTATGAACTCAATTACATAGCGATTGATATCGGGATCGGAATTCGGGTTTATGTACTGCTTCCGTTTTTATTAGTCGTTCTTTTTTATTATTTTGAGACTTCTTCACATGAAAGCACTCGTCCAATCGGACAAGTGCCCATCAATATTCACTTGTCCGTAATTTTTTTTTCACTGGTACCGGACAAGCGGGCGAAGCGTTAATGTCGAGCCCTGAGAACTGTTCACTGATCACTGGTTCTTACCTTTTCTCTGTTCAGTCATTTTACAGTTTCCTCTGTGAACTGTTCACTAATCACTTGTTCTTACCTTTTCTCTGTTCAGTCGTTCAATGGATTCCTCTGAGAATTGTTCACTGATCATTTGTTCTTACCTTTTCTCTGTTCAGTCATTTTATGGTTTCCTCTGTGAATTGTTCACTGATCACTGGTTCTTACCTTTTCTCTGTTCAGTCATTTTACAGTTTCCTCTGTGAACTGTTCACTAATCACTTGTTCTTACCTTTTCTCTGTTCAATTGTTTAATGGTTTCCTCTAAGTACTGTTCACTGTTCACTTGTTCTTACATTTTCTCTGTTCAGTCGTTTTATGGTTTCCTCTGTTCATTGATCACTTGTTCTTACCTTTTCTCTGTTCAGTCGTTTTATGGTTTCCTCTGTTCACTGATCACTTGTTCTTACCTTTTCCCTGTTCAATCGTTTTACAGTTTCCTCTGTGAACTGTTCACTGATCACTTGTTCTTGTCCTAACATCCCCAGTAACCTTCCCTGTTTCTCCTGATATTTCTTTGCTTCAGCTTCTTCCCTACAACAAACAGAAGATACTTCCTCAGTCCTCAGTCATATAACAAACAGAAGATACTTCCTCAGTCCTCAGTCATATAACAAACACATACTTCCTCAGTCCTCAGCCATACAACAAACACAAGATACTTCCTCAGTCCTCAGTCATATAACAAACACAAGATACTTCCTCAGTCCTCAGTCATACAACAAACACAAGATACTTCCTCAGTCCTCAGTCATATAACAAACACAAGATACTTCCTCAGTCATACAACAAATACAAGATACTTCCTCAGTCCTCAGTCACACAATAAACACAAGATACTTCCTCAGTCCTCAGTCATAAAACAAACAAAAGATACTTCCTCAGTCCTCAGCCATACAACAAACACAAGATATTTCCTCAGTCATACAACAAACACAAGATACTTCCTCAGTCCTCAGTCATATAACAAACACAAGATACTTCCTCAGTCATATAACAAACACAAGATACTTCCTCAGTCATACAACAAACACAAGATACTTCCTCAGTCCTCAGTCATACAACAAAAACAAGATACTTCCTCAGTCCTCAGTCATATAACAAACATGGCATTATTTCATACAGGTTAAAGAAAATTAGTAGAATCTGATTAATCAAGCAATGTCTGTAAAACATACCATTGCTGTCTGAGAACAAAAACTCAAAAGTGACATTACTGATCAATGGAAAAAATAACGTATTGTCTTGATTTATTTTTTTCTCAAAATAATTGATTTAATATATAAAATTATCACAAGAAATGAAGTAGATAATAAGATACTGTATAGAGGATATTTCTGCCAACATTTTATTTTTGTCCCTTTCCTCCTACTCATTGCAAATTCAAAGAACACAGTATAAATTTGTACAATTTGTTCCAGTGGACTTAAGCTTGGCTACTGCTTGTTATATTACTTAAGCTTGGCTACTGCTTGTTATATTACTTAAGCTTGGCTACTGCTTGTTATATTACTTAAGCTTGGCTACTGCTTGTTATATTACTTAAGCTTGGCTACTGCTGGTTATCTTCATATTTTTCATGTATGCACATATAGTTCGTTTTGTATAACTGTAAGTATAATGAAACAGATACTGCATGTATTACATGTAGGTCAGGTATGTTTGGGACAATTTTCAACCCTCCCAAATCATTGTCAACATCACATCATCTATGTTGTCACTGGTTTCATCACTTAAACTTCTCCACATAAGCCTCACCTACTGCAATATTTATATAATGCAGTCAAATATCACTACAGAGCACTCGAAGAATGTACCTAATGTGACCTCATTAAAGAATGTACCTAATGTGACCTCATTAATGTGACCTCATTAAAGAATGTACCTAATAGGACCTCATTAAAGAATGTACCTAATGTGACCTCATTAAAGAATGTACCTAATGTGACCTCATTAATGTGACCTCATTAAAGAATGTACCTAATGTGACCTCATTAAAGAATGTACCTAATGTGACCTTATTAAAGAATGTACCTAATGTGACCTTATTAAAGAACGTACCTAATGTGACCTCATTAAAGAATGTACCTAATGTGACCTCATTAAAGAATGTACCTAATGTGACCTCATCAAACAATAAAGTGCCCTGCCACAGCATGATACGCCCGTCAAATATTGTTCAATTGTCAAAAACAGTTTAGAGTGCAAGAAAATCATGACAACCTTGATAGAAGGATTTCAATGATTTTTCCATTCCTAATAATATTTGTTTATACATCTCCTGTGGTGTAGGCATTAATTATAACAAATATTACATTATAGATCCTCAAATGGTTGTGTTAGAGCTTGACAAATGTCCATCTGCAGCCCCCCCCCCCCCCCCCCCCCAGCTTTCAGATTTGTGAGACATGATGCTCTGAATTAGTTGATATTTTCAAAAAATTAAATAAAAATATCATCTTCAACAATATCAATTTAGTCTTAACAACAATCTATATCAAATTAATATCAAAAATAAAAGGCTGGCCATCAAATGACATACGCTATAAACTGACAAGCAGTTCTTCTGTCCAATTCCCAAAGGATACAGATATGAGCTGCTTGATCAGAGATCTTCTAATAGAAATGATTGAGACAGCTAGCCTTCCTCCACTGACCTCATTAATTAATCTTTAACTGGATGCATATCCACTCATTACTCACAATGGATGAATGGATCTATGCATACTATCTGCTTTGTAGTGCAATAAAAATGCATATTTATGTCATTCTGAAATTAAATTTGAAAACAAAGATTTTTTTTAAATTTGTTACCAAGATTTATAAAAAGAAAAAAAAACTTGTGCAATCTTGATGCAACATTTTTAATAAGGTTCCTGCATTACTCTTAGATTTCTAGGGACTATCTACCATAATTAAAACATTTTCTTAAATACTTTATATTTTTTTTTAGATTTAATGCAGACTGGTTTTAAGCTGCAATTCATACGGACAACAGGCATGCTGATTCCAATACCCCCCCCCCCCCCCCCCCCAAGTATAATTAGTTTTAATTATATTATACAATATCAAATTAGTTTATTATACAATATCAAATTAATTATTATACAATATCAAATAAGTTTTAATTACTTTTCACCAAATTCATTTTAAAAGTTAGGCTAGCCAACTATTTAATCCAACAGGGCTGATTCTTTTTGCCCCGTTCTCAAGAGATATAGATAACACCTGCTTGATCAGAGATGCTCTACCAGTTAGCTCCTCACACTAAACTCATTAATTTCTCTCTAATTTGACATGAAATTTTCTGTTATCAAATTCTCCTTGACCAGTGCTTGATAATTACACCCATGGGAGAGGTGGAATTTCTCTTGTAACATTGTTATAGATTGCTGTAAAGTATATAATGAAAAAAATCAGTATTTTCTTGATTTAACATTTTTTAATAAGGATACTGCAACACTCTTGCATTTTTTGGGATTGTATAATCTAAGAGTAAAAAGTTATCAAATTCTCCTTGACCAGTGCTTGATAATTACACCCATGGGAGAGGTGGAATTTCTCTTGTAACATTGTTATAGATTGCTGTAAAGTATATAATGAAAAAAATGAGTATTTTCTTGATTTAACATTTTTTAATAAGGATACTGCAACACTCTTGCATTTTTTGGGATTGTGTAATCTAAGAGTAAAAAGACATTTTTTTTTTTTAAATTTCACTTAAATTAAAGGTCACAGTGACCTTGAAATAGGTCGTGACACACCTTCTACCTAAGATGCATAAATTGGCCCAATTTGAAGATTCTAAGTCCAATAGTTTTCTAGTTATGAGCCAGACAGGATTTTTCCATATTTGGCCATAGCATCTTCATTAAAGGTCAGAGCGACCTACTTTTAGTGTGCGACACACCTTCTACCCAAGAAGTATCAGCTGACAAAGTTTGATAATCCTAGGCCTAATAGTGTTAAAGTTATGAGCCGGACATGAGAAAAGGTAACAGACAGACAGACAGACAGACGGACGGACGGACGGACGGACAGACGGATGGACATGAACGCCATAACATAATACGTCCCGTCTAAAGACGGGCGTATAACAAAATGCTGTATTTCTTGTCTTATAAATGATATACTGGTTGAAAAAGTTCTGTCTTTCTGTTCTAATAACATTCCTTAGAACTGCTACACAGCTGTTGTAATGTCCTACCTTAGAACTGCTACATTACTTTTACAACGTACCTTAGAACTGCTACATGACTTTTACAATGTACCTTAAAACTGCTAAACAACTGTTGTAATGATGTACCTTAGAACCGCTACACTACTGTTGTAATGATGTACCGTAAAACTGCTACTGGACTGTTGTAATTACGTAGGTTAGAACTGCTACTCGACTGTTGTAATAACGTTCCTTAGAATCGCTACTTGACTGTTGTAATGACGTACCTTAGAACTGCTACTCGACTGTTCCAGACCTTCATTCTCTCTTGCATGTCCTGCCAGCTGGCTTCAGCAATCTTATACTTGTCAGCTTTGACCTTGATTGGATTTGGTAAACTCTGATCTGGTACAAGTTTTATGAGTTGCCTATAAAGATTCAATCATTTTGTAAATACAGTTAACATTTGCATGCAATGGATCATCTTACAATTTTGGTTACTTTGTTATGTGGGGCTTCTGATGACTAGAATTGGTTAATTTAATCTTCTGGTTGGTCATATTATGTAGGTATACTTGTCATGAAGTAAGTAATTGTAGTACAGACTGTAGAAGAATAACTATTTTACAGATCTTGTACAATCATTTTGATTTAGCTTAGTAGCCTGGGCCGGGTTTCACAAAACTATCGTAAGATTTGTCCTCAGACAGATCTTAAGATCATCTTAAGATCTGACTTATGATAATCATAAGATATGCCACTGCCGTTTCACAAAACTATCTTAAATATAAACAGGAGGCCCATGGGCCACATCGCTCACCTGAGCACATTGGCTAGGCAAAAGCACAAATCAGTTCAGTATTGAAAAGATTACTGGGGGGGGGGGGGGGGATTGAATTTTAAACTACCTGATGATGCTTCCATGTCAATATAACAAATGGCTTTGTTGTACTTGAGGAGATTTTTAAAAAAATTTGCATATATTCCTTTGTAAAAATTTGATCCCCCATTGTGGCCCCTCCCTATCCCAGGGGTCATCATTTGAACAAACTTAATGAATCTACACTACCTGAGCTTGCTTCCATATCAATATGATTAAACATAGCTTTTCTGTTCTTGAGAAGAAATATTTTTTCTATATGTTCTTATGTAAAACTTTCGATCCCCCATTGGGCCCCAACCTACCCCCTGGGGTTATGATTTGAACAAACTTGAATCTACACTAACTGAGGATGCTTCCATATAAATATGACTCATCGTGGCTTTGCTGTTCTTGAAATGAAGATTTTTAAAGATTTTTACTATATATTTCTATGTAAAACTTTGATCCTGCATTGTGACCCAGCCCTACCCCCGGGGGTCATGATTTGAACAAATTTGAATCTACACTACCTGAGGATGCTTCCATATAAATATGACTCATCATGGCTTTGCTGTTCTTGAGAAGATTTTTTTAAAGATTTTTCCTATATATTTCTATGTAAAACTTTGATCCTCCATTGTGGCTCTGCCCTACCCCCAGGGGTCATGATTTGAACAAACTTGAATCTACACTAACTGAGGATGCTTCCATATAAATATGACTCATCATGGCTTTGCTGTTCTTGAGAAGAAGATTTTTAAAAGTTTCTTCCTATATATTTCTAGGTAAAATTTGATCCTCCATTGTGGCCCCACCCTACCCCCGGGGGTCATGATTTGAACAAACTTGAATCTACACTAACTGAGGATGCTTCCATATAAATATGACTCATCTTGGCTTTGCTGTTCTTGAGAAGAAGATTTTTAAAGGGTTCTTCCTAAATATTTCTATGTAAAACTTTGATCCTCCATTGTGGCCACACCCTACCCCTGGGGGTCATGATTTGGACAAACTTGAATCTACACTACCTGAGGATGCTTCCACATGTGTTTCATCTTTCCTGGCCCTGTGGTTCTTGAGAAGAAGATTTTTAAAAGATGCTATTAATTTTTCACTAACTCTTTATTATCTCCCCTTGAAAGAGGGCGTGGCCCTTCATTTGAACAAATTTGAATCCCCTTAACCCAAGAATACTTTGTGGCAAGTTTGGTTGAAATTGGCCCAGTGGTTCTTGAGAAGAAGTTGAAAATGTTAAAAGTTTACGGACAGACAGACAGACAGACAGACAGACAGATGGACGCCATACAAAAAGTGATCAGAAATGCTCACTTGAGCCTTTGGCTCAGGTGAGCTAAAAATCTTAAGACAAGTCGTAAGACAAATCTTACGCTTTGATATTTAAATTTAAAAAAACTTGTTTGCTCAAAGTTTCGTGGTATTTCTTTAATTTCCTTTTATATATTGAAATAGTGGTGTGTCTCAAATATTTCTTCTGCAGTTATAGTAATACTCTCGGAAAAATGACATTTTATTGCATCAATTTCATTGTATTGGGGGGGGGGGGGGGGGGGCAGAATAGCTAAATTTGAATAAATTTCAGTACAACAAATTTATTGAAAGAAATTTGCTTAAATGTCTTTTTGCTCAGAAAATAGTAGTTGCTAACAAAATGTTTTTGATACTACTTTTAATTAAATCCATGCACTATTGCATTTTGTGCCTATGCAAATAATGAATGATTTTCCACTATATTCAGCTGAAACACCAAATTGAGTTCAAAGTCCCCAGGTTCGTTCATAAAAATCTATGAAGGTATCTCTGAAATGCTGAACTACGGGTATGTCTTTTACACAAGGTACCACAAGGAACCACAAGGATACCACAAGGAACCACAAGGTACCCCAGGGACACCATATACAACCTTAATTATTCTAAATATGGTTTATATGCACTTGTAAACTACAAAAAAATGTTTTGAAGAGCATGTTTTGAAAATGTTTTGAAGAGCAAATTAACACTTTAATTGTCTTAAATAGGTACAGTATAGCGCTATTAAACCAAGGTAAAATCTAAATTAAATTCACTAATTTCAGCTAAATTATGCATGCATAGTTCAGAGGGAGAGATTGTATTTTTATGATGTATAAAAACTACTATACAACGAAACACAGTGGTAACAGACGGAGTAGAGAAACGAAAGCAGAATTTAACAGTTTCAAATGATATGAAAAAAAAAACATATTTAGCATCAAATATTACAGCAGTGTTTAATTTTGTAAGACTGAAAGACATGTTTAGTTTCGAGAAAAAAATAACCACAGTGTAACAAAAAACATCAACATAAAACGTATTAAATGTGCAGGGTGGCTACACCGAAGTTCCAATTTGTTTTTACTTCTATGGACAGGACTAGTCCAAACCATAAAAAAGTCATATATTTTTTTATTTATTTACTTATCATACCAATAAATCAACTACGTGTATCTGGAACTGCCTTAGCCATTTTCAAAACATCGTCGGATACCCACGGGTGATCTCATCTTTTACTTATCATCGGATACCCACGGGTGATCTCGTCTTTTACTGAGGAGACCACCCGTGGGTATCCGACGATGTTTTCAAAACTGCATAAGTTAGCATTGCTTGGTCATAGATAATATGTTGTTCTTGTGAGGAATTGAATTCAAAAATTAGATAATTTTGATTAAAATTATAAATAATATCTGGATCTTGTATACATGTCCGTAAGAAGCAATTTCTGGGGGAGGAAGAATAATTTCAGTTGGGAGGGTGGGGGCACAACTAAACAAAAATTCACCGAAAAGAATAATCGGGCACAGCCATAAAGTATTAGGGCTGGGACGATACAACTTTTTCTGTATCATTATGTATCACGATATTTGAGCCATGATACGATATGTATCACGATATGTTGATTTGGTTATGAAATCTTTTTTTTATTGAATTGAACAAAACATTTCTTCACAAAAAGAATAATTTATTAAAAAAAGTTGTATATCTGTTGTAAAACAAAATTATTTTACACAAGTGGTGTTAATTATTATGTATTTCATATTTATATTTACATTTAGCATATTTATTTCATATATTAAACCCAAAATTTTAAGTAAACAAAGAAAAACATAAGTCAGAAATTTTTTGGAGATATTTCGATATTTCTTCATGTGTATCGATATGCGTATCATCCTCACACAGAATCGATATTATCGATATCTCGATATATCGTCCCAGTCCTATAAAGTATAGCTACATTTTATGTTTTTTATTGCATAGTATTTACTGGCAAAATTATTACATGTAGGTGGAGTGGGGGTTGGGGGGGACATTGTTCTGATAGGCCTGATCTCATAGTCCAAAGGTGTCTATCTCTAAAAACTGTTCTCTTTTTAAAAAAATCCTTCGGTTTTTAGCCAAAATATATACTGTCACATTGTTCACTCTAGTCTTACATGTAAGACAGGTATCTAGTTGTCTTACGATTAAGATAGATCTTAAGATTATCATAAGATATGAGAGTTTTGTGAAACAGCTATCGTGCAATCTTACGATAATTTTAGGTCTTAAGACAGATCTTAGTCATAAGATAGTTTTGTGAAACGAGCCGCTGAATTAATCATGTAGTATTAAGTACCTACTCAAAGTAGCTTGGTTTAGAGAGAGGTGCTCCCCATGTAATTTTGTAAATGTTGAAAAGATAAGTCTGCATAGGTCTTTCCCTCCATAGACTATACAATAAAATCAATTATATGTAGTGTTTTTGTTTGTTTGTTGTTTAATGTCCATCTCGAGAATTTTTCACTCATATGGAGAGGCAACCTCTTGCCGTTGGAGGGCTACAAATTAAGACCTATACTCGGCACTCTGGGCCATTGAGCAGTGAGGGATCTTTTTCGTGCCAGCACCTACAGTGACAAAGGACCTCGGTATATACAGTTTCATCAGAAGGACTGGTCTCCATGTCCCACAGTGGGATTCGGACCCATGAATAAGGATCAATTCCTTACATGGCGTTTCTAGAGCAAAGGTTCTAACCACTGCACCATGACAAATGACTTATATTTATAGTATAGAGGGGTAGACCTATGTAGACTTATCCTTTTGTCATTTACAACATTGCAATACCATGGGGAGATCCTATGTGTTTAAGCTGCTTCAATGCATTTTTCCACAAATCAATAGGAAAAAATTGCAAGTACAGCCTTCCCGTATTTAGAATGGTGCGAGGAATGACGATGGTGTTCACTCTATCTCGAATTTCCTCTGTTGTTTACATTTACAAATTACATTTTCTGCCATTCACACGCCATTAATAATTACCAGATCGCCTTCATCTGTGTTCTATAATGATTCTCCTCCGTTTTCAGCCATTCCATCTCCTGAGGGTCCTGCTCTGGTCGCTTTGAGAGAACGAACTCCTTACTTTTTGCACGTGGAACCCACCTCGGTTTTCTCCACCGAACTAAGTCAAAGACGGGTAGCGCTTGTCTTGTTGACTCAAGGCCATGAACACATGCCCCTGATTTAAGTAATGTATTTATCAATGACATATTCTATAATCTAACATTAATACAAAGAAAAGTTTTCAGTAAGTTTTAGTTCTCGATACATAGCCATCATAGGGCAACCATATTAGGTTACCAGACAATTCGCTCCGCTGCTAATTCGAACCCAACAGGTATTCACAGTGCAGGTTTCAGGACCATCAACTGTTAACGAATTCAAGTCAAAAATCTTTTTTTTTTATAAAGCTGCAAGTTTATATATATATTATTTAATTTTACAAATACAAGTTGAAAATTTTGTCAATTTTATTTCAAAACGTGTGCTTATCTGTTCTCAGTTTATGGTCATTGGGACAGGGCTTAAAACGGTTAATAAAAAGGCACTTCTACATTGCTATGTTAAGAAGACATATTCATCAATTGATGAAGTTTTTATCAATATAATTATTGTTTTGTAGTAGTTGGGCATTCCGCCACTGGAATATGTTTTATACTTCTCTTTGTGTGCCGTTTCACGGTGTGTGTGTGTGTGGGGGGGGGGGGTCTTTTCTTTTTTTTTCTTTAGCTGTTTTATGTAAAGTATTTAACCCTTTAGATCTTTTCCAGGTAAGATTGAGTCCGTATTTGGATATTTTACTAGAAAAAATATTAATGGTAACACAACAACCAACCTTTATGATAAAAGTGATGACTTCAACTTTTTAATTGTCAACTTCCCTTACTTATGTAGCCATATACCCTTTTCACCTGCACATTGGTTAATTTATGTCTCTCAGCTGATTCGATACGCAAGAGCATGCTGTAGGCCAACGTACGGGCATTTTCTAAAACGAGGCAAGCTACTGACAAACAAGTTGATGAAACAAGAATATCAACAGTCTCGTTTAAAGTCATAATTTCTATGGCCGATATAATGACCTTGTCAGCAGATACAATCTATCATTAAGTCAAATTCTGACTGACATTTTTCATACTAATTGTTAGGCCATTAAATTATTTACACACTGAATTGTCTACGGATTTTTCCGTTTTTCCCGATTATGACAAGGAGCACACGACGGGTGTGCATGGTCGGCAGGGGATACTCACTCCTCCATGGCAACTGATCCCACCTCTGAGGTTTGAGAGGTCGTTGTCTGCTCTGCTACTGATTTGTATTGTGCGCTTGTTCGTTATCTCCATATTTCATTACAAGGTTTGGCTCATCAGAAGCCCCGAGTAGGGTTAAAATCCTCCGTATAAACACCGCTATTAACTAGAGAATGAAAGTAAAAGTCAGCCGTATTGTTATTTGATAATAAATCTAGAATGAAAAGTTTTGTGATGAAATACCTTTGAAAATAAAAGATAACTCTCTTCCGGTTTTATGAAATAAACAAATCGAATACGAAGATAGGAATTTACGTAAAGAAGTAAGAAGAAACAGAAATAAGGAAATAGAGATAACATGTATACAGTTTTACTTAACCTTGTATTGTGTCAGAAAAGTAAAGTTCTGAGATATTCATACATAAATTTTTATCAGAAAAAAATCTCCATTTTGCTAAATATACAACAGATGAACGTCCTTCTAACTTTCAGAAAGAGAGAGAATTCCTTTTTTCATTGAGTCACATCCTTAACTCACAATGACTTTATTTATTAATCTAAACAAGTATAAGAATGTATGTTGAACAGATCTTTTAACCACATCTGGTCTCCTTGACAATGTCCGTCATTTCCTACAGAGATAATTAAGTCAACCTAGCTACTCTGGCCGGGCTTAAGGCTGCCCATCCCGCATCCTGAGTGAGATGTACTTTTACTTTTAAGGACGTACGTCACACCAGGTGGACACTCCCGAGGAAGTAATGTATATATGTACCACATATCACATACATGTATACGCTCATTATAAAAATTGATCAAGTACCTTTATCAAGGGCATACCTTCCTACAATCTAATCACAGGGAAGTCCACATAGCAATGGTGTCAGAACATAGCATTTTTGTTATTGACTAAATGTATATGTAAATGTTTACAGAATATTTTTTCCTATTTGATTTTCATACATTGTCTGATCCCTTTGAAAGAAGAGATTATTTCCGAGAGGGTCACTTGTTATTCGTACTTGTACCAGTATTCGTGTCGCACTTGTGGACATATTTCACCACAAATCGTCCAGAACTCACCCAACAAGCCAGCAGCCATGAGTCCATCACGTAGCCACATCCTGGTTTGTCTGCTCGTCATTGTTCAACAAAGTCTGGTCCAGGGTATTTATAACTGTAGCTTCTTTTAAAAAAAATCATTGTGAAAGTCAGGACTTTAATTATTACGTGTAGTTCAATAAATCATTCATTTCGGTGGAGATAACTTTGTACTATTTAATTTGAAAATATTGTGTTTTTAAATAAAAAAAAAATTTAATATATACTTTTATTTTTGCCTGCATTTGAAAGTTCAATTTGTTCTTTAATTGGATAATTTATATTTTTTGGACTGTAAGGTTTATCAACGTTGTGTTTTGATTTGTGTTTTGATTGGTTGCTATCTGTATGTTTTCATATTACTGTATAATTTGATTGGTTGTTGCCTGTTCGTCTGTACTTTGATTGGTTGTTTTCAGGCTGTGACTCAGACAGCCAGTGTCCGGACGGATATCACTGCTGCACGGGTACCGACTGGTGTTGTTCGTCTGGATACGTATGTACCGGAACTGCCACCTGCTTATCCATAGGGTTCGTATAATTTATCCCCCCCCCCAAAAAAAAAACCAAAATCTTCCTTAGTAAAGGCACGCGGAATATTTGAATTGTAAGAAAATCAACACTTTTCAGCATGAATGTCAGTAAACTTGATATAGCCCTTGTACATGTAGGCGATACTGTTCCAATTTTGGATTTTTGAAAGGGGTTGGAGACTCAGAGGGGCAGTGGGGCCTTGGGATCAAACTTCGTATCTATCTGTATCTCACAAAATGTAAATATATACTTTAAGTCAAACCGATTTACACTCGCGATCTGTTTTATGACTGTATTGATAAAGTAAAGATTGAGAAGTAAAAACTGATGTAATTTAATTATTTACACTCTATATAGTTTTCATTCTGCTGTGTATAGTATTATAATTACACATTTTCTAATCTATAGATCAATTTTAGCTAAATATAAGCATTTACGTGTCTTACACTAAGTACTGTAATATGTATATAATTTGCCCCCTTCTTTCAGAAAAAATTGTAATAAATATACCCTCCTCCTCCTTTAAAATATTACCTAAAATATTTAAAAACAATTATTCATTGCTTTATTGGGGTAATATATTCATTTTTATGATTTCTAATTCACATCAGGTACATGCAAATCTTCATAGACTGAGTCCTTCCTCTCAAACTATAATATATAATAATATACATATAATAAACCTTTATTACAAAGACGGTGCATGTATTACAGTACACCTTGTACTCCAATTGATGAAAATATATTACACTCATATACATACAAGTGCAAGCATTTGCATAAAATCCTATTTGTATACTTATTAAAAGAAATATAAATATCTAGATAATGTTTTTTTAGAAGAGGAAGGTGGTCTCGTAAGAATCTGACAAAATCAAAAAGGGAGAAATTATAAATAACACTGTTTACAGTACGTGTTAATCTCTTTTCCATGTCCAAGTTTTTAGATTCTCATGTCAAACAACAAACACTTAATCGCTTCCTATTGTGAGTGTCCTGTTTTTATCATCCAAATCATCAACATATACTCAGTACTTAATTTGTTTCATACATACAAGTATCTAAAAGTGGACTTGCAGATGGTTAAACATTGGTTGAAATGAAATATTGTGTGTGATTAGCATTTTAATTAAAGTATCCAGCTGGGATTATTTCTTTGTTTTTTATGCAGTGGTCTCTCTCTTTCTCTCTCCAGAGCCCCCAGTTGGCAACAATAAGAATACATATTAAGAAAAAAAACTTCCATGATAAGGCCATCTTTAAAAAGAAAAATTGTTTGCCCTCTCCCAACCGACTAAAACTTTTTTAACCTTCTGGAAACATGCAATTATTTCTTGGATTCATTCCGAAGTTTTCTCATCCCATTACTAGCTATTTTATCTTCATATTTCCAAGTATTTTTGAATAAAAAATTTTCCCCTCTACCTAACTACAATTTTTTAAAATCGGGAGGGGACAAGCAAATATTTTTTTTGAAAGATGGCCTAATAAAATGCCAGAGTTCTCGCTCATCGTGCTGCGATCATAAAGAATAGACTAATCCACGAAAATCTTGCTTATCTTTCAGTGACAAAACTACGTGCAGGATCGTCTCGTTAATTTCACGGGCACTGGAAGTTAATGTAAATATTGAGTATGTGCATGTATAAAAAGGTATCCTTTTTTATTCATGCACATACTCAGTATTTACATTAACTTCCAGTGCCCGTGGTCAATTTCACCCAAATGTATAATCATCTCGCTTATCTCTATGATCATCTCAATTGTCGCTGACAAATCATCTCCATACACTGAATGACAAATTTTATTGCTACTAGACTTTGACCCGTGCGTGCACGGGTTGACATTGTTATGAATACATCCATGTGCATATCGGACATTTACAAAATAGATATATCGACACATTCATAAGGTACTTTTGAGATAAACAATGAATGTGAATATAATTCTGGGGTTTTTTTTGTTTTTTTTTTGTTGTTGTTTTTTTTTTTTACAAAATTGTTGCGTAACGGCGTAGCGCAGAATGGTTTTGACCACCAGTTATCTATAAATCAAGTCATGAGTTAGAGTCACGCCGGAGCTTACATAAATTTCACCTTTCCAAACAAATTTAATTAAAAAAATTATGGATATTTATTGAAAATATGACAACAACAAAGAGTTCAGCACTGCTAAAGCATATCAAGCAAAGTAATGAAAATGAAGAAATGTGCTAAGCTGGTATTTTTACACAATCAGTTATTAAACTAAAGTTGTAAAAAATTTTGTAACAATTTTAACACTGCAGGTCTCAACTTGTTCAAAATATGACCTCAACAATAAAAGAATTAAGCACTGCTTATACATATACTTTATATATACACAGGTAATAGACATGTATATAATCTGTTAAAGCAGAAATGAAAATGGACAAATGTGCTACACTGGTATTTTTACACAATTTAGCAGATGTGAAGCAGAACAGATTATCTTGCAATTACCCCCCCCCCCCCTCCCAAAAAAAAAAACCATACTGGTTGTTCAAGAGATCATAATAAAAGTTAAGAATATCAAATGTACTTTATATACGATATAAGAAAATGCTCTCATGATTGTCTGCATGTTTTGATAAAAATTAATGTGATATCCTTGAATTAGTACAGTATAAGATATATGGAAAACATAAATTATCATTATGATTAGATAAACCAAGCTAAAGTAGGAACTTGAAAGTACTTCTTGCTGCAATAATGAAGCCTTTTCCAGGGGGGGGGGGTACACTCTTTTTGGATCATACAATATCATTTCCATTTTTTAAATGAAATCATACAATGTAATCAGAAACATTTTAAAATAAATGTTTCTGATGTAATTATTCAAACATATTTTTTTCCAAAATATTTAGTAAAGTCTGAGTTTACTGACCTTGACCGATTTTATTTTGGGACAGCCAATGAGAATTTGGGAGCGGGATCTTGAACTGAATATGGGAATTTTTCTTACTTCATACGTAAATAATGCAGCAAAAATAAAATACATACCTCATAAACATTTATATATCTGTTTAGTGATAACAAAAATTAATCTACTGCAGTATTAAACGTTTTCAATCAAAAGTCATTGCATCACTTGAGAACTGTCATGGCTGCTGAAGAAAACTTGTTTTCACGCTAGTGTATTTTTTTCTTGTGGCGATTTAATAAAGCGTTAGTTTGTTTGCTACGATTAAATATAATTCATTTCATCAATGAATAAATATTTTTTACAATCTTAATTTTGTCCCACCTCATAGTTTTGAGATTTACTTTGCATGGATTATATTTTACAAACGATCGATATTTTAGCAGCATTGATAGAATGAACTGTACGGGTAGCAAGGGCTGACTTCAGACTACCTATCAAGCGTAGTTACCATGACAACCTTTACATATTTAGAAGAACACGCTGTCTCTTCTATATAATGTACTAAAGATCAATAACAATAATTTACATATTTCACCCACTTTTCTGAAAGTTAAAGAAATTTTTAGAGGTGAATTTAAATATAAACAATAAAATGCTTTCTTTGATGGTTCACGTGGGAAATGCACGGCGCAAGCATTGCAGGGGGTGTTCACCGTATTGTTGACAGACCAGGGTCAGAGGTCATTACATGTATTTACATAACAAAGCTATAAACCTGCAATAATGCTATATTGATTTCACTACACTTCTAAGAAATATAATGTGAATTTTTTGCATGGAATCAAATATTTCTTTGCCCTTAGTTTATGTTTCATATTTACCGCGTTATAAATTTCAGCAGTGAAGGTATTAGTAAACATGGCGAACAAATTCAAGTTGCAATCATTTAGACACATTTCAAATTGAAAATATCGGTTATATTGACGTTATTTAATTACTTCGATTTATTTCAAAGTTTTAAAAATGAAAATAATGTTATTGTAATTTTTGGCGGAAAAAGAATGCCTACGTACTTCACTTAGATGTGATTCTAGCTGGAGTTGTAACCCCACCCCCCTCCCTTCCCCTCAAAAAAAGCATAAAAGAAAGGAAGGATAAAATAAAGTCGGGTAGTTACATTAATATTGCTCCTACGATCATGAGCTTTTTGCCCCCGTTGAGATGACCAGAGACATACATAACATATAATAAATGTTTCTCCGAGATGGCGAATGATTACCCACGTGGCCACAATATCACATTTGTATGGATAAACTCAGAAAGATAATACAAATACGTGTAAATTTTCATTGGAAATTTGCTATACATTCTGTTCATAAATATTTATGATTTTCTTATTTCTTATTAGAGAAATTATAAAATAACAAATATATATCTACTTAGTACTTCTTTTGTCTTCTCTGATTTGAACACCGTTGATTTAGCGTGAATGTAATGCGCGCGCGCAAGATTGTAAAATCCAAAAAATCCAGATGATTTCCGGAATTTTTTGTGGAATTTTTGTTGATTATTTTAAAATTAGCGAAGGCTAATTGAGAAAAAATAAAAACAAATTGGTCATCTTCAAGTACCAATTATGTTTAAAATATATAAAACAAAAGACAGTACTTTTCCGATTTATCGGTATTAAAGGCCAAAAATCAAAACCAAAAGTCTATTTCTATTATTTTAATATAGTAGTATAGATTATAATTAAATCAAGGTTCCCATTATTAGTCTAACAGCAAAACTTTCTATAAGACAATCTTTGGACCTATCGTCTTTGTTATAAACATCATCTTTCTCTTTATACAGGATAATCGTCCGACCTATCGTCTATATGTTATAATCATGTCATTTTTCTCTTTATTTACACATGTAGGATAATCGTCGGACCTATCGTCGCTGTCGTAATTATCATCGCTCTTATCGTTCTGTGGTGTTACAGACGACGTAAGTATCTCTTTGTTATTGTAATAACCTTGTAGATGCTGACCATTTATAGGTTTGCCCTTTTTAAATCCTAAGGTAGACACTTTATAACGAATCAGTGACACAAACATGATGCTGCCTTATCTTTGTGCAGTATGCAGAGCCAAATGACCGAGTCTCTCTCTCTCTCTTTTTAGCATAAAGCATCAGCATAAAACAAAATAAATGACAAATTATTAACTTCTTAAAAATGATCTAAAAAGAAAAACGTTGTGATTTTGAATTCTCTGTTATCTGTAAATATCCTGAAGGCTACTCTTCTGATTCTTTTTCAGTCATTAGTACAATAGTAAGCATACAGCAGGAAACATATTGATGGTGAATTTAGCAATAATCTGAGCTTGATTTTTCCTATGAGCCTCCTGTTTAATTTTTTTCAGGCAGAGTGACCTACAATCAGATTTGATGCTCATGACATCACAAGTTTGGTAGTGACATCATCACTTAGATCTTCCACCTTCATCCTTCACCATTTAATACACCTCGTTCAGTATTGTAATTCGTTACTGATGACATCACAAGTTTGGTAGTGACATCATCACACAAGATCTTCCACCTTCATTCTTCTCCATTTAACACACCTCATGCACTCAGCATTGTAATTTGTTACTGATGCAGATACTAGTATATGCATTATAACTTTGATGTTAAATAAAATGTTCAATATTTTTTATCATGTTGCATTATTTTGTTTTGCATTTATTTTATGTAACAGGAGAACTCGATTCTCCCCTCCCCCAACTAGAAGCTGTTTAAGGACCTTCAGTACAATTGTAAACACTATGATATATGCATACTCTCTTTTAACTGATATCACAAATTGAAACTTCTTTCAGAACAGTAAATTGTCTACGAGTCTATAGCTATACTGTTTTATGGCAAAAAGATGAAATAAATTTTAATGGTCTGAATTTATTTTTCATTCCAAACTGAAAATGACATATAATACAAGTGCCTAATCCTACTGCTGGAGTGTATCAGCTGCTGCCAAACACTTTAGTCACAAAAGAGTTGTACTGCTGTCTGGTGAAATACGGCAGTGTTGCTCCTAACAGAGCCTGTCCAGCCAAACAGCCACAAAACATGATCACAAGCTTCTTATTTTCCAGTAAAGTCTTAGGGAACCAGCTTATATTTCCTTTCTGTGCATAAGAGTTAAACTCTGAGGTAAACACTTTATAACTGACCATGAGACACGGATAGATTACACCGAAAAATGTCTGTATGCCAATGCTGCTGGCTGTTTGTGTGAGCATTCTGGAGCCGGAGCCAGTGAGAATTTGGTCCTTAACTGCTACATTCTGTAGAACAAAAGTAGGGATACAAGAAGTAAATAAGCTTAGAAACAAAAATCCTGGGGGCATCTTCCTGCTTGAGGTGAATGCATGATAAATTCCGCTAGCGAGGTAAGAAGACGTGATAGCAGAAGCTCCATTGGCAATGTGTGGCTCATGACGCAACAGGAAACTGTAAAAGAAATACATGTAAAAATTCCTGTAACAATAAATCTATTCCAGTTATTTAGATCAAGCATAAGTATTCAAGGATTACACCTCAATGAATATTACTTGTAAGTAAAGCAAGACTCAAAATTAACCAACGTTCAGGTAGTGTACTTCCCTAGTTGCTTTGCAAGTTTGGTTAATAGGGAATGATTAAGTTACTTGGGAGTGTACCTATTCCAAAAAATTTGTCCAGTTTGCCTTTTTCCCTATTTCTTTGTAAGAAACATTTTTCCAAATTTCAATAAGGCCACACCAATAATATTTTTTTGTTCGTCGGACCCACGCTCATGTATTTAAACAAAACTATATGAATAATATTAATTTCAATTTCCTGCACCATAAAAATTCTGTGCTATTTTCTATTCGATTTCTGCTCTATCTTACGTATTTTAAATCTGTTTACTCTGCAAATCAGAAAAAATGTAATTGTCTGCTCAATTTTTTTCACTCTCCGCCCACGAAATTTTGCCTGCAAAATAGTAATAATATTATTATTTAACCGCTTGCCCGCTCGTACTTTTTCTCATCAAATATCCGACGAACAAGAAATTAAATTGGTGTTGCCTTAAATATTGTTACTTTTCCCAATAAGAAAGTAGGCTAGGCTAGGCCCAGACCCTTGATATCAAGACCTATTAAAACCCTGGGTGCTGGGAACTTATGAGTACTTAAGTATCTTGTAGGCTGGGTACTTATGAGTACTTATTAATAAGTATCTTGTAGGCTGGGTACTTACAAGTATTTATTTTTTATTGTAGGCTGGATACTCATGAGTATTTAAGTATCTTGAAGGCTGGGTACTTGTGAGTACTCAAGTATCTTGTAGGCTGGGTACTTGTGAGTACTTAAGTATCTTGTAGGCTGGGTACTTATGAGTACTTCAGTATCCTGTAGGCTGAGTACTTATGAGTACTCAAGTATCTTGTAGGCTGGGTACTTGTGAGTACTTAAGTATCTTGTAGGCTGGGTACTTGTGAGTACTTAAATATCTTGTAGGCTGGGTACTTATGAGTACTTAAGTGTCCTGTAAACTGAGTACTTGTGAGTACTTAAGTATCTTGTAGGTTGGGTACTTATGAGTACTTAAGTATCTTGTAGGCTGGGTACTTATGAGTACTTAAGTATCTTGTAGGCTGTGTACTTGTGAGTACTTAAGTATCTTGTAGGCTGGGTACTTATGAGTACTTAAGTATCTTGTAGGCTGGGATAAGCTGATATCTCTCCCTCCCTCTACAGGCATAATGTGTTATGACTGCAGAGCACAAGCTAGGTTAGGCATATATCACCCCCACCCCCCCACCCCAACATCACACACACACATAACGTGTTGAGTACTTACAGGGGTATTCCTACTATTTATAAACTGGGTCCAGGGTCCGTAGAATTGGGAAAATTGATGCGAAATATGTTCAGATTGGGAAAATTATAAAAAGGACTAATTTCATTATTTTCCTCAATATCTGAAAATGAAGGTAGCAAAAGACTGATGTCTGTTTTACAATAAATTAACACTATTGACAGATATAAAGACAGTTATAAATATATATATATATATTATTCATGCTGACACCTATCGAGATTTTCCGATGTATTGCAGGGAAACTTTTCTCATTTCTTTGTGCAACTCTCTTAATTTTTTTCAAGGACACTTAATTAGGAAAAAAAGATTTAAAATTGGGAAAATATGGCTGATTTTTGGATTGGGAATGGGTCCGGTAACTGGACCCAAAAACACGCTAGGAAAACCCCTGACTTAGTACATAATAGTGTCCAGCACAGGGTTGGCAAAAAACAGGGAAATACTCATATTTCCCAGGTCAGTGGGAAATACTGGTAATTAATAGTACATAAAAGTGTCCAGCACAGGGTTGGCAAAAAACAGGGAAATACTCATATTTCCCAGGGCAGTGGGAAATACTGGTAATTCCCGGGAATTACTGGTATTTCCCGGAAAATACTGGGAAAAAAGAAATAGCTACATATATAGCTACATATTTCATAATCTAAATCATGTAATTTACCTTATACTAAGGCTAAGATATCTACCAGGTATCACTATCCCTGATTAATTTTATTTTAATTCATTTTCAATAATTACATTACAGTTTATTCAATATGTTCAAATACCAGTCATGAGTGTCATTTGTTTCATGAGTCAGATGAAGTTTATAAAGGTCCATGAAATGAACCCAAAGATCCCATTTGAATTTTTTTATGCGACTAACAAAGGATTGAAGAAAATTGTTAAATGTAGAATGAGGTGTAAATATCAAACCTAAAGGTAAAAAAGAAGCCTTCCAGGTCTACTGAAGGTAATTATCTCTCAAAACAGCTAGGAGGACAAACTGTCCAGAGCAATTTGTTAAAACAACCTGAATCGATTGTAATAGGTACAGTGTTTAAAGAAGGATTAAAACAAGATTATTTTATATTTGGATTTATAATTAATAAACTTAATAATTTTACAAAATTGAAAAAAAAAACTTGAATTAGAAAACTTCACTTTTGTTCTTAAAATACAGTTAGCAGGGTTCGACACTAATGTTAGTACGTTAGTCTCAGACTAATACATTTTCATTCGGACTAATAAAATATGTGGCTAATTAGTCCGAATGGACAAATAAAAATTTCTGGAAAACAGTATGAATAAATTACCGATGTCCGATTCTCGACAACTTTTACTGGAAAACCCTGCATGTATTTTTAGATTTCTAGCTTTTGGCGGGTAGTTATGCAATGCTGGGTCAATTCAGCGCTTAATTTTTCGACTGATCGATATGAAGTATAAGGTTTTAGCGATCATGATTTAGTATGACACTTTTAAGAAAGATGTTGGACATTTTGGATGCAATGTAAAGTCAAGAAAAAAAAAAAACCAGATTGGGAATACGATTGTACTTGCTGATTGTGAGATTTCAGTGAATCTGTGGAATAATATATTTCACGTAAATACTTTGTTTATTTCAAAAAATAATATGTATATTCATTGTCATGTTAAATTAATGTTAAAAAACATTGATGTTTCTTTTTTTTTTTTGACGGACTTATAAAATCGCATGCGGACTAGTAAAAGTAATGAAGCACTAGTCCAGCTGGACTAAAGCCTTAAAAAGTTAGTATTGAACCCTGGTTAGGAAAACATTTTCTGCTTAAGAATGCTTATTGGTAGGGGACCTGGACTGTCCTGGAGTAGTGAAACCCTCTGAATTTGTTTTATAGGAGTTTGAAACATGTTCAGTTTTATTTATCTTCTGTTTTAATGTTTATTTAATTTCTAAATTTTGTATAAAATTGAATAAATTACAGAAATAAAAAACTAATTTTGTATTTCCCAGTATTTCCCAGTTAAAGAAATTTTGTAGTATTTACCAGGACGGGAAATACCGATATTTACCACTGGTATTTCCCGACCAACCCTGGTCCAGCATCTAGGATAAGCTGATACTTTTCTTCCCATCCCCCCCCCCCAACATTAAAACACATGTAATGTGCTGAGTACTTAGAACTTACGTCTCTCGTAAGCTAGGATATGCCGATATCTCCCTCTGAATTATCCTTTTAATTTGATCTGGTCTCATAATAACTGCTCCCTCTGGGAGCCTCGTGCCAGCTTTCCAGCGATGAATTCCCCCTCGGCGTCTCCCTGATGTTGGGACATCCTCTTTGAATTTCTCCTCCTCATTCATGATTCTTTGTGACAAAACCTTGGCAGTCACTGTGATATATTAAATATCATAAGTTAAACATGTATAATTTTATAGGCATAAATACAGTGTTATGTAAAACTGTTAGGCTATAATTATTTATGATACACAATGTAATAGTACATCTCCAATGTAGTTACAAAAGTTTCTTTTTTATTAATTATGCTAACGAGACAGATGGAATGTATTCAGAATTATTAAGTTTTAATAAATTAAAGTTCTTGAAAAAATACTTTTCCCCTATCTGCCTATAGGCTTAATGCCAAGTGAGTGAAATTTTTGGTGCCATGCATCTACATGATCTACAGACTAATTATCCATTGTATGCAGACAAACACCAATAAAAGTGCACAAAAGTACAGGTAACTCTCGATACCTCGAAGTCCACGGGACCGAGGAAAAACTTCGAGAGATCAAGAGTTCGAGTTTTCAAGAGTCCGGAATTTTCCGGGTTTGTTGACAGGTTTTAAAATTAGTCTTACCGGATGTAATGATTTTCATGCAGTGCTAACCTCTTACACGTGGTTTTTATAAAACAACCATATTTTTCGTAATTCAGATGAATATTTCATTAAACTGAGTAAAGCAGAAAATGTATATAATCATTTCATGTATATTTATTTATTCTTCGTAAAACGGACATCATACTATGCATTCGTTACATGAAAACAGCATTTTACAGCGTCGTACATAGCTTTGACTATTCCAAAAATGATCATTGAACGCAGCTCTGTAAGTATTTGTCCAATAATAGTCGTCATATTGACACTGAGGCTGTTTCTGCTTTTTTCATATTTCGTTTACCTTTGACACTGACTCGAAATAAAAATTAAATTAGTGTTTTGTCTTTTAATCAATCACTACTTTTCAATGACACTTCGTATCTAAATTATCGCAAGACAGTCGATGGTAATTATTTCAATAGCATATAGGCAAAATATGATAAATTATAAATCAATTATCACCTTGCAGCATAAGTGTCACCTGAACAAACATAACGTTCCTCGAGACCCGCGTCTTCTACCTGGGGCCATTTAAATGTCCAGGTAAAGGTGCTAATTATATAATCTTGTATACACAAAGCCACTTCGAGGTATCGAGGGTAAATTCTAATAGAATATGCATAGCGGGACTGCATTTTGACTTCGAGGGATCAAGGGTTTCGAGAGATCAAGAGTTCGAGAAATCAAGAGTAAATTTGCTTAGTTATATAGTGGAAAAATTTGGAACCGGAGACTCACTTCGAGCGATCAAGAACTTCGAGAGATCGAAGTTCGAGCCATCAAGAGTTGCCTGTACTTGTAATCTAACATGACTTTCTCACTAACAAACTATATAGAAAAACCTGTATTAAATGACACATAGTGGGAATTGTAAAAACTGGTCACAAACATCAGTTGATCAATTAATACAGATGTAAATGTTGCATGATGCTTCTCAGATAAAAATTAAAAGGAATGTATAGGTCTACTTATTATTATAGACTTCAGGTTCTTTTTGACATAAGTTTTCCTGGAATAGTTCCATTTATTTAGACTGACTTATTCTAGGAAAATTGCAGGAACTGATATGGGAATGCCAAAAATATTGCAGGGAAAGCAGGGACCTATATAGATAGTTTTCATATGACGTATTTTTTCTCCGAGTTATACCCTTGGCCGCCATCTTGGTGGTCAACCAGGTAATTTTTCCTCTTTGTCTTACCAAATCTAAGAGGATGTAGCAGAAATATTTGGGGGAAAGTCTTCATAGAATAAAAATAATGAAATAATGATGCTTTAACAAATGTATATTTTTCAGAAAAACAATGCTTTCTACCCCACAATGCCACTGTAATGGCCAGTATAAAAAGTTAAAGTTGGTTGAATAATGAAGGAATATGAGCATGTTGACCTCCAATATGGCGGCCAACGGGAAATAACTCTTGCTAATTGGGGCCTACTGAAAACTATCTGGATAGTCCCTGGGGAAAGTCATTCAATGCATTTTTTTTATACCAATTAAATTAATAAATAGGCCAGGTAAAATTAATCTTTAGATTCTCATCCCCGCCCGCCCCTCTCAAAGTGCCCCGCCCCGTTGTTTTTTATTTTGCTTTTTCGGTGCTAAACGTATTATTTTCATGTATTTTTATTCAGCAAGAATCTGGGTCAAAATTTAAGAGTTATCTCCCGTCTGTATTAAAAGTCGCGTGGCGCTATTTATAGCAAAAAAACTATGTGAAGAAGGGAGAAATATCGGCAATGAAAGCAGTTTAAATATGTAAGGAAAAGATAATTTGTCAGTAATGAGAAGGCAGAAAAACAAAAATAACATATAAACACATCTAGATACCATCACTGGCATGGGCAAGTTTTTAAAGAGATTTTAACCAAGTAAAAACAGACGAAGAAAATGACACATGGTCAAGTTTTAAATAACCATCTCCAGATGTATGTGATTTTGCAATTAAAAAAAAAAAAGTCGTCCAAAGACTTTAGAGAATAACAGTGCTAAGGAAATGTTAAATCTTAAAACTGTTCAGGCCTAGGCTTTTCAGTAGAATATTTTACAGATTTAAACAATCCTGTTTTGCAAATATGATATATTTAATGTTGAACATGTCAAGTCTCAAGAACGATTGAATGTATGAGGACAGTGGAAATCTGTGATATCTGTATATCACACAGAACAGAAGGAGTTGTTGGTAAAACTATAAGGTATTTGGGGAAAGGCCGATGAGAAAACATGCATATGCAATTTATTAGGATCAGCACCTTATTTTGTTTGGCGTGTACCGTATCTGTGTACTTGATTATTTGTTAATAAAACTATAAATATTTTAATTTTCTATAACAAGAATCTTCTGTAGATATTTAAAAGAATATGAAAACAATAAAATCTATTCATATTGGCATTAACATAATGTAAAAATTAAGTGTACGAATGTGTTGTTGATACTTTTATTTATAAAAAATAAAAAATAAAATCCGCCCACCCGCCCCAATTTTTCAGCAAATTAGGATGAGAATCTAAATTTTAAATTTATATGGCCATAATGGAAAATAAATTTATGTTTGCTATCACATGTTTAATATAAAGTGTTTTCATGCTGCTGTATAAAAGAGAAAACTTGTCAAAAGAACTCATTCTGGTCACATATGACAGAAAGTTGCTGAAACATCAGTTGCACAGGCAGGTTTGATGTTTGTTTATACTGTTATACATGTATTTATATTAATATACTTAACCGAGTCCTTATGATAGATCTAATGATGAATAACTAACTATAAATATACATCACCTGGATTAGGCAACAAAAGCCTAATGCCTCCGTAAAGATGCTCTTGTTACAGATTAATGTGTTGAAAGCAGAGAAAATTCGAAATTTGCATAACCCACGTGAATTCATCAACTTTTAAGAAACAAGCATCATCTTAACAGATAGTTTAAGCAATTTTGTACGAAACAATTGGTTGTTTATCATATATCATCCGTGAGTGGCATTGGGTTTTCTGTAGTTTTTATAAATTACAAAAATGATTTCTTCATTCGGACGTCCTAACACAACACGACTTGATGAAGCCCGATCCCGATCTCTTAGCCAACACTTGATATTGAAAGTACATAAATGAATTTGAGCACGTCTATTTTAATATGATTTATTAATCAGTAACCAGTTCACTGAGCAGGTTGAACTTGATTGCCATGATCTAAAGTCTTCACTTGGTTCCTGTCCTAAAATTTTGTTTTAAAAAATACTTTACTTAAAAGAGTAGAATTATCAAATTGAATATATCACTATTTATAAGAGGCATTGGGCATTGATATAAGATTTAATACAAAACAAATTAGAAAATTTAACAACATATTTTCCTTTATTAAAAGATGCATTCATATGTAGTAAGGAAAGTTCTTCATCTTGCCTCCAAAACAATTTAGTATTCCTCCATAGAAAAAATTATTAAAAATTCTTGATATTCAAAATATTATGACACGTATACTAAAAGTAAATTTGTTATATTACTCCATTAAAACAATCTCAAATTGAAAAAAAAATTTAGAAAAATAATAATAATGGATTGGCAGTACTCAAATGACCCACAAAAAGATGACAAACTTGTCATTTATTTATTTTATTATTTATTATTGGACAGACATTAATAACATACTTTTAAAAAATGGCATAAAAAATACATATGAAGATAGAGAGGATTTTCTTATTCAATGTAGCAAATTAATAAAGGAAAGTGAGGGACTACCTGGTATTTATAACTTAATCTCATATAATAAAAGTTAAACGTTTAAAGAATTTGCATGAAATAAAACAAAATTATTCTGGGTATTTTAAAATTTTGAAGAATTAGATATATTAAACTTTCTTGGTAGATTCTTACAAAAGGCATCGCCATAGGTTTGTAATGGTGGAAGATTTATTTTTGCTTATTTATTTTAGGAATGACTCTAATTCTTGGCCAAATTATTCGAGTATAACCTGGTTTGGGTCAGTTTACGCTTTATAATCCGCGAAGCGGATTATAAAACAGCGTAAACTGACCCAAACCAGGTTATACTCGAATAATTTGGCCAAGAATTAGAGTCATTCCTTATAATTTAATTTTAAAATCATTAAATAACTATGGGTTTAAAATTTCGTTACTTTTTATTAGTTCAAATTTGCCGCTCAATAATACAACCATAGTAACGGAAGTAACGGAAGTGATGGGAATCGAGGGGAGGTAAAAACTGATACATAGGCATAGCAGCCATGTTGTTTGGTTACATGTGGTAAGATCGAATTATTGTTTGAAATTAAAGGTACATTTATTAAATCTGGAATTTTCCATGAATCCCGAGGACTGGAAATGAGAGGATTGTATGGATACAGGTGATTCAGCTGGTTGTCAGGGGGGTGTGTCCCCATACCAAACCAGGTTATACAGAAATAATTTGTGTTCCTTTTTGGATATTAACCAATCAGAGGTTAGTATACAAACGAAATTAAATTATTATATTATATACTTGTATATAATTATTACTATAGTAAACTGTATTGCGTTACATATAGTATTCAGTCGGGAACGTTGCTGGCGAAGCGCGTGAGTCAGGCCGTTCTTAGCGACATCTGCGACACCGGCCTGACCACCGTGATACGCCTGTCGCAGTCCCAGCTAGACACCAGAAGTCGTTGGACGTGAATCAAATCTATCGTTATTGATATAGGTAATAATCTTCCACCAACCCCTAAATTTCACTTGTTATTTATATATTTGTTATCTGATTGTTAACTTATTAAACCTGTAAAACGTTATTATTGTTTTTGTCACTGTAAACCGCAGAACTCAGGGATAATATGGAAACACACCAAGTTTCCCGTTACAGGTTAAATTGCAGGCATTTGAACTGTAGCATGATGAAATTATATAAAAGTATGCATATATGTGTGTGAGAGTAAATACAGACTAGAATAAATTTATTTGCCAATCATGATACCACTGGGGGGGGGGGGGGGGGCATAACTTAGATACAAGTAAAACCAACTTTAAAATAACGTTTGCTTGCCCTCTCCCGACTCATGATGAAAAAAATGAGTCGGTAGGTAGGTGAGAAATTTTCTTTCAAAGAAAATTTCAAAATCAAGGCTGAATTTTCAAAATCCGTTTTCTGAAATGCATAAAACAATAATTGCTTCCTGGAGGTTTAAAAAAGTTTTGAGTCGGTCCATTTTTAGGCAGTCGGTCGGGACGCGGAGAGGGCAACCAAACATTTTTTTAAAGACGGCCTAAGCATGATTATATTTTTTTAACATTCAAGAGGACAAGAAAACTTGTTAACATTAAATACAGCAATACTTAACGTAGGTCGCGGGTTTGAAGGCCATTTAAAAGTGTCCGAAAACATACCATGAAAATTAGATATATGAATCGTCTACCTTCGTTTTATATTCTCTGAAATTTTTATAAAATTTGTCTGCATCGTTTTTGTGTAATCAAATCCCAAACATGCATGCCATTGTTGTCGTTGTACATTTTCGACGATATTCTATTGAATTATATAAGAAAAACGTCGTTTTCGGCTCGTTTTGAGGCAAGATTTTGTTTCAAAAAATATCAATAAATCTTAAATGGTGCAGGCGAAATTGTTTTCTCTTTGGTATTTTACGGTATCCTTTAATTCAAGTATATAAAATGTTTTTATTTGGACCATTCAGCAAGGCGCTCAAATCTACGAATTTCTGCCAAATATCGTACCGGCTAAATATATATATTTTCAGTATATATTTAAACAAAATATTATTTATTTTTACATACCACATTTTCAGAGGGGTAAATGGGACGAGGATTTAAAAATTAATTTTATCTGACGTAATCAACAGCCAGTTTTTTTTTAAAAAAACATTAATTCTACTTGTTGGACATGGAAAGCAAAGTAGCGAATAAGATATGTAGTTAAAAACATTGCAAACTGTTGCTTAGGGGACGATCATTTCATTGGGGGGGGGGGGGGGCTTGCAGACTTTGGAAATAAATAATCTGTCCTCGAAAATTTTGAAAATAAATAATCTGTCCTCGACTTGGCAAGAAAATAAATAATCTGTCCAAGACTAGTTCTAGCACCCCCCCCCCCCTAGGAGTTTTCAACTCTGATGTTTCTCTCTCTCTCTCTCTCTCTCTCTCTCTCTCTCTCTCTCTCTCTCTCTCTCTGGTTTGTTTGTTTGTTTTTTTTTTTTTGCTTGTCAGACTTTTTTTAGTGAAGAAGAAATAAATAATCTGTCTTTGGTTTTTTGGGAAATAAATAATCTGTCCTTGATGAAACAGGTGTATTTGCGATTTTTAAAAAAAAAAAATAATAATAATGGCTTCTTTCTTAATAAAACAAACTGATAATTCAAATACGATCAAAGGAAAAAAGGTCAGTTGAATCTTGTGTCCATATCTTTTCGTGATACCAAGTGAAAACAAATCAATCGCAATTTCTCGGGCCTTTCCGACAAGCCGGAAAAACAACCACTTGTTTTTCCAAGCTTGCAGGAAAGGCCCGAGAAGATGCGATTGCTAACTTTTTTTAATATTTCCAGTGTCGATCATTCGAATCGTAATAAGCCTTCTTCACTAAGTTATCAATTCCAACAAAAGTTTTATCTAAGTATTGTATCGACTATGTGACGTCATAATCAAATATGCACAAGAAAGTCACCCAAATCATATAAATTGCGTACTCAGTTTTAACGACGTCAGCAAACCCGCGACCTACGTTAAGTATTAAATCATTCTTTTTTGAAAGTCTTTTTTGTAAAAAGTTGAAAAATGACCCTCATCCCAACAGTGATACAAAATTGTAATCTCAGCGCCCAATTAAAATTGCACAATAGATACTTCACAGTGATTATTGGTTATTATGTCGTCAAGAACGTATGTCAGGACGCTATATTTTTTTATCTCTAAACCTATCATTTTGTCCGAGCATTTTTTTGGAGATGACTTGGACAGACTTAATGAAACTTTTCAGAAATGACGATCAGCAGCTCTGAATGTTCATTAAATATTTCGATTTTTCAAACTGACCATCGTTGCCATGGAAACAAAATAGATAATTTTGTAAAGGAATGTTCACACGGTTGGTTTCAACAATCTTTATGAAACTTCACAAATGCATTTACACATTTAAGTTTTTTAAAATTGTTTCCATTGCTGGACAAACTTTTTCACACAACGTGTACAGTTTGAGTGTTTGTTTTTTTTCTTCAGGGAGGTAGAAAAACTGCCATCACGTGATCATTATGTTTGGAACTTTGTGTATGCTTATTGCTTGCAATAGTCATAATCTGTTTATAATATATTTCATATTTCGATATTTATATATAAAAGATGTTTATGGTAAACTAATAAACTGGACGACTTCAGAATCGGCTTTTCCATCGCAAACTTCTTCATGTATTTATGCAGTAATATTCCAAAATCGCCTGCATATTGTGTTTATGTCTCCCAACTTATTCGGTACGCTAAAGCATGGTGTGAAACTCGTACAATCAACATTAAAAACAGAGACAAGATAATGACAAATATGTTGATGTTACAGGGCTTTCAACGCCTCAATCAACTAATCACTTCTAAAATTTTTGTAATTTTAGAATCTTGATAACAAAATTTTACAATTAAATCCGTGAAGGCAATATCTTTTCTAAATACGGAATATTATGCAATTGTAAGGTGCTGTTAAAACCCAGAAAAGAATTACAATTGTCCGGATAAATTAGACATTTGTTCTGACAAGAAGATAAAAGTTCTAACAAGTTAGTTCTTCATTCAGACGAACAAAATATTTTTGTGGATAAATACATTCTCTCTTTGATGAATTATGTATACTCTTAGGCTAGAAGAAAGTAGATTAAATTGTTTTTGTTCGGAATTGTTCGGACGAACCGGATATTGTATGATTTAGCAAATTACATATTTGTTCGAACAGATTTAATGTTTCTTTTTTGGAAAATATTTTTCTCTGATAAAGGAGAGCATCCAAAAAATCAAAGATGATACATGTATAAAACACAGGAATCAAGTGCACGTTGATTTTGAGATATGAATAATTTTTTATTGACTCCATACCTTGCAGTTTAGAGTAAAACTGCTTGCGTCTCAACTTTTGTTTGCCATAGACACTAGATAATTGATTAATTCTTGTTCTTCCGGTTTTCATGAAAATGTACTTGATAGTTTCTAAAACATTACGAAATTCTTCTTACTCAAATTGTCAGACACTTTGCTATATGTCTAAAAAGTTACATGTATGGACAATGTTTAAATCATTGACTTAAAAGAAAGCAGGCACTTGGACGCAACTTAATTATAACCGGTAGATATACATTATAAACAATTCTTTCTCTCTCTAGTCTTCTGCATGATGTGGGACGTGGAGACAGGTCCTTCGAATGAGATCGTATAAACCGAGGTCCCAAGTGGAAGTATGTGCTGGCACAAAAAAGATCCTTGATTGCTCAAAGGCTGTAAGTGCCTAGTACAGGTCTAAATTTGCTGCCCTCCACCGACAAGTGGTGTCGTCTCAAAATGAGTGAAAAATTCATGAAAGGGACATTAAACAACAAACAAACAAACAAATAATACTCCCTATGTGTTTGGTCTTAGGAAACATTGGAACGAGCTACATCTTCAGCGGTGGGACTGGGTATGGTTCTAGATTTTGTTTTGTGGAGAACACGATTCCAGACGTTGTGACGTTCATTTTACCTGTCTCACTAACATGGTTTTCTTTTTGACATCTGCCATTGCTATTTCATTTTCAGAGAGGAGGCGGTCTCCAGAAGAAAAACATCTTAAATTTTCCCCATAATAAAATTGTTTACTACTACTGGTTTTACAGATTATCGATGGGTTTCTACCCATATCTACCTTTTCTTTCTTGACAACTCTCCTCACATCTTCCCAGGGACTTATTATATTTCTAAGCTTTGTTTCTTCTATAAAAGTCATCAGGCGTTTGAGATAGGTTTTCAGGGTTAACCAGAAGTAATGAAGGAGAATCCCAAAACTTAAACAAAGAGCTTTAATGTATGCAATGTGTGGGAAATGGTGTACGACAACTGCATGAAGAAGAGAGAGAACAGGACATTCATCAGATTTATTCCTGGTATAGTTCTCCGGTCTCGTACAATCATAATAATCATAAATAATGCTGCTATACATATCATGCTTACTGAATTGCACATAGTTGTACATGTAAGCATTTCTAATCTATTCTAAGAAACAAGAAAGAGAACGTTTCAGAGTCGGAATGCTCCTCAGAACAAATACTTATTTTGCCACTGCTGTAGTAAACAAACTCTCCGATACAGTACGCTAGATCGTCGTTGATTTTTAGAGTAAACCCTCCTGGTCTGACAACTCCCCCTCTATAATTAACTATGATATGGGGGCACAGAAGAATATCTGAAACATGATTAACAATAAAAGGGATTCTTCCATTCTTATTATACTCAGTCTCACAATATCTTAAAAACCTAAAATTTTCCGATTTAAACCACGTTGCTTCTTTAAGAGTTGCTAATGATTTTCCAAAGGTTGTATTTGAAGAGATATTTTTGTGGATAGATAACAATTTATAGAGATCCCTTAATTCGTCTTCCACTGTCTCACGATCAAATTGAAAATAAAAATATAGTCTATAATGAACATATGCCAAAAGCCCATAAACTAATCTGTCCTTTTAAACCGTCCAATCCCTGTCTCAAATTTTCTAAGACTTTTGTACATTTTCCGCATGTTCAGTCATCAATATCTTCAGAGGGAGAAAGTGTTTTTAATAACTCTTTGCAGCTTCTAGAAGTCCCTATGCCGGGTCGACAATATAGTTCCTGTTACAGGTAGTAAAAAGTTAGCTGAAATTGTTCCTTCTCGTATTTTTTTTTTTATTATCTTTTTTTTATTTTATTTTTTTATTTATTATTATTATTTTTTTTTTAAATAAATTTCTGATAATTTTGTTTCCACGCAGTTCGGGCATCTTTCAACCAAACATCTTTTTTCCTCTCCCAGGTGTGCACTATCACATTTACCTCAATGTTACCAGCGTAATACATCGAAAACTAAAAAGGTAAAAACAATTTACATTTATTGCCACCATTTTTCTTCCTGGGTAACACGTTTGATTTGAAATAAATAACGAAAGTCAAACGTTACTGAATAATATTTAACTTTTATTTTATTTTCGCTTTTCAAAGACTTTTAAGGTACATAATAGTCATTTCCCCTTCCCGCACGTTTAAAAACGATGCTGCGTGCCTGGTAGCTTTTGGGACATTAATTATATACAAATGTACATATTCTATACTTAGTTTTGAATTAATTGATTTGGAGTGTGCTTTTGTGCTTTTCTTTTTTAATTTCAAACTCGTTCCACACAATTGACAAATTATTTCTGCATTTCTGAAATAAACTTTGTAAGATTCAAGATTTACAAACAACCGAAAAGGGCGCTGTTTTCTTTGCAGCCCTAAAACAATTGTACCAATATCTGCCTTCATATTTCATTTCATACATTATCCCAATCAAATTTGTTTCGGAAGCAAGAGTGGTGTCTTTATACATGCAAAATCCCAAATTTTGAATATCGTGATATTGTACTTAAAGGACATTAAGGAAAAATAAATCTTAATATCTTTTACACACATATACTCATAGTTCACTTTCCACTGAGTAAATCCTTCAAAATCACATTTCAGTGTTTAATACTTTCAACATAACAGTGAACCAAGATGAGCCCGATCTACCCTAAATGTTCTGGATTCCTAAACTTCAGAAAAATCCTAATAACAAAGATACATTGCTGTGTCCAGCAAATGCTCTTCCAAGCCCTTATCTTTACTCCTTGCAAACATATGTTTACAGCATTTTCTGGAACTGATGTAAATCAGATATGGATCCTAACAAATTCAAAAGAACTTTTAGAAACTTTAAAATAAGCAAATTTTACAAAAGTTTAAAACATCAACATGTTTACTATTATTTTTTATAAATATGTTTTTTTTAAAATTCATGAACGATAAATAAAAAAAAGTTATATCTAAGGCCAATTTAAACTATTTGGAAACAGATAAATAAGTGTTCACAAAAGATTTATCAATTGCCATCAACCAATATTTGCCTTTAACAATCTATTGGGTTAGCTAGAGAAGGCAAAGAAATCATTTTGATAATAAGAAGACAATCTAAAATTAGAACTCCGATAAATGAGCCTTTAATTTAATTCAATTTTTTAATCTCATAAAACTTCACACAAAACGAATATGTGAACAAGGTATTAACACGGACCCCTGGAAATTCCAGAGGTAGAATTATTGAAATACATTTATCATAAAGAATTATATCATTTAAATGACTATTCCTTTATAATTAAATTGGAGATATGTAATGATTTTTGATACACTAAGACAAAAAGGTAAGGTTTTTATTAGTGAGATCAATAGTTAGTTCTTTAACATTGAATTTTTAAATTGGTTTTCTTTGACACCTGAAAATTTATAATATCTGTCAATAATTCATAATCAAAAGTCATTCAATTTACTGAAAAACAGTTTATTGAATAGATTTTAATAAAAAAGTTCTGAAAAAAGTTCTGCAGTGTTTGATAATATGAATTATTATACCTCTGTGAATTTTTTCTATATAAAAGTACGACGAATAAACATTCTATTTTTTCCACACAGCCCCTACCGTGGAATAGTTTTGTGCTATTTGCCCATGGTGAAATAGTCATTAAACTATTCACCTGCAGCATTCTGTTTCCCTCGCTTTTCATCTCGGAACTCTTCTGGTTTTATCCAGATTGTGACGTAACACAAGTAAAGACTGCTTCGGTATAATAAAACACCTATTTACTGACTATGAGGACAATAGCAAGTTTATCGTCCCCCTCGACAGCAACTATTTCCCTCGGCTGCGCCTCGGGAAATAGTTGCTGTCTTGGGGAACGATAAACTTGCTATTGTCCTCATAGCCAGTAAATAGGTGTATAATATATCATCTAGTTATTTTATATAAACATTAATCTACTTATGATAAAATATATGGAGATAACGAACATTATTCAAGAACGAAAGTCCATTCAAACAATACAAATCAGTAGCAGAGCAAACACGGACCTCTAAAACAGAGTTGGGATCAGGTGTAATGGAGGTGTGAGCATCCCCTGGCGACCGGTCACACCCGCCATGTGCTCCTTGTCATCATCGGGAAATAACGGAAAAATCCATCGACAATTCAGTGTGTAAATAATGGCCTAACAATTAGTATGAAAAATGTCAGTCAGCATTTGACTTAATGATAGATTGTATTTGCTGACAATGTCATTGTATCGACAATCAAATCAAACATAACAACTCACATACATGTACTAAAAAAATCCTTAAAAATTATAAGAAAAATTTGCCACTGAGAGTAAATAAATATAAGGTATTTTAATGCACGTGTATTTTTCTTCTGTTATCAAAACACGAATTACAACTTGTTCATCTTTATGAAACATACTAATAGCCATTGCCATAACTAATAAATGCTTATTATCAATATGACTGTAACGTAACCCCCCCCCCCCCCCCACCCACCCACACTGAAAAAGTGGTCTAATGTATTCGATGTCATAAGACATATTAAATACGAAACGATAGGAAATACAGCAAAAAAAATCCTGTCCCTTAGAACTGTTATCTTCAATCTGATCAATTTTTCTTGTTCATGATTTTTGTTAGCTTATGTCAAACATCCTTATGAATGTCGCCATTCTACGTCAGATGTTGATGTGGATGACGAACGGTGCTGCGTTAATGAGTTGTATGCTACGTCACGTGTTGGTGTGGATAGCAAACAATGTTGTGTTTATGCTTTGTGCTGCTTTATTCACTGCTTCCCTTGATTCTCCACAAATCAGAACATCACCTGTCATCTGTTCTTCATACTCAGGGTGCCATAACCTCATGTTATCTTTAAAAAATACATATACTGACTTTATTGCAGCGAATATCTTATTAAGTTCAAACTACATGTATACTGTAGATTCCTTATTTTAACTGTATCTCAGATATATTTAAAATATACAACAGAGTAAAAAAATCCCCAATTGCCTCTAATCTTAGTAAATCCAGTTTATAAAATCTCAGACTTTTCGTAATAATACATGTAGTGTACTGTTATTGTTATGTTATATAGATGTTTTGTTACGTGTAAATGTAATAATTCTAATGTTTATAGAATACCAATGTATCGATCGTGCATTACATAATGTAACTGCTAATAATTACGATGTGTATAGAATACCAATATATCGATCATGCATTGCATCATGTAACTAGTAATAATTCCGATGTGTATAGAATACCAATGTATCGTTCACGCATTGATCATGTAACTACAAATCATTCGGATGTATATAGAAAAACGATGTACCGTTCATGCATCATGTAACTACTAATAATTCCGACGTGTATAAAATACCAATGTATCGTTCACCCATTGCATCATGTAACTACTAATCATTCGGATGTAACTAAAAATAACTCCGATGTGTATAGAATACCGATGTGTTGATCATGCATAGCGTCATGTAACTATTAATAATTCCGATGTGTATAGAATACCAATGTATCGATCACGCATTGTGTCATGTAACTCCATCAACACAGACTGATCCAAAACGATGATATAGACTTGGTTTAGATGGATAGATCCTCTTTTGGCAAATTCTTCTACAGCCTCCAACATGAACTGCGATGTTGTCCTTATATTTCCATGTAAAGACCCTGTGGTGAAAAAAGGTTTATTACATAGGTTGTTTATAGTCCTTATATAACGTTACACTATTTATATCCTATGTAGCTTATAGCACGAGTTTTGATAATTAAGTTATTTACGTACACTCTAATATTTCGATGGCTAATGATGTTTTACAATACAAAGGGAAAATACGTAGGTTATATTTTTATTTTGGATATTTTTAAATCTTTTTTTTTTTTTTTTTTTTTTTTTTTTTTGCGAAGGAAGTTCGTTCATGAAATTGATGTAACTATTCTTTACCAGGCGTTATTACATACGCTATTTATAGTCCCTATATAATCTATACAAACGCATATCCACCGGGTTTGAGACTGTATTCATGGAGGGTCAGTGCGCGTGCAATGGTGATTGTGACGTCACAAACGACACCAAACGATTGCAACGCTTAAGTTCAATCTGCTACGAATGCGTTCATGAAACGCACTTAAGATTTGTCGTAAGAGATTCTTAAGTTAAAATCTTACGCAAAAACTTAAGATTTTTTGTGAAAAGGACTACTGATTTTCTGACCAGGAATGAAAAAATAATAAACATTGCTTGATAGTTATCTAAACATTTTGAAGGGAAAAAATGTTTTTACTAGTCTTTCACTACGAATGGAACACACAGAAATATTACTTTTAATCTGGGCAGCTTGATAGTTATCTAAACATTTTGAAGGGGAAAATGTTTTTTGCTAGTCTTTCACCACGAATGGAACGCACAGAAATATTACTTTTAATCTGGACATTCTTTTATACTTCCGTGACGTAGTACGTTAATGAAAATGCTGTCATCATGCAGCCATCAATCATCAATGTCATATTATTCAATACTGATCTATAAAATAAAACGCCTATGGACTCTTAAAGTAGATGAAATGGTTTGATATTCACCGGAAAAATATAAATTTTAACCAAAAAAATTACATGCATTAGTATTGATATTTTTCTGGTGAATATCAAACCATTTTGCAATTATAACATATATACAATATATTTAGTAAATTCAGATGACATTGCGGTCTAATTTCGTAATTAATAATTTACCTGTGCCTAGAGCTGGAAATGCTAGGCTTGACAATTTCATTTCTTCTGCTTTTTGTAAACATTTCAGAACCATCTTTTTCCAAGCAACAGACACTTTAAAAGATCTGCTGACGGAAACTGCATCCACGTGGAATATAAACAAACACGGGATCTGAGAAGGGTCACCGGATGTAGTCACTGCCAAACCCTGCTTATCGACCTCCCGACCTGAGATGGTGGTAATTTACAATTATGCAATTTAAAGTTTAAGGTAAATCTAAAAAAACCGATGTAATCAACTACTTCCACAGTCAGAAAATTTTAATCAATGTATTAAAATTTGAAATAGAATGGTAGAAAAACAAAATCAACTACTTCAACAGTTAGAAAATTTGAATCGATATATTAAAGTTGAAATAGAATGCTAGTGTAGGTGTTTCAATCATAGTAGGGGAAATCTATGTAAAATTCGCAAGGTTAGCTTGAATGAAATTGTTTTTGATATAATTAAATATGGATGAAAAAATGGAGTGATTTCTTAAAGCAAAATAGAAAAAAAAATACAAACGAATTGCATAGCGTACCATTTCCTGATAAACGGAAAACCTCTTTAAATAGTCATATTGACGTGTTGTTCACAACCTTCTCTGTGCTTCTCTCCATTTTATTTGGGTATTTTTTAAATTAGTTTTTGCAATTTTGTAACGATGCATGATTTTTCTAAAAGGAGGTAGTTATTGACAAACAAGTTGATGAAACAAGAATATCAACAGTCTCGTTTAAAATCGTCATTTCGTAAATTCTATGGTCAATACAATGACCCTTTTCAGTAAGTACAATCTATCATTAAGTCAAATGCTGACTGGCGTTTTTCATACTAATTGTTAGGCCATTATTTAAACACTGAATTGTCGACGGATTTTTTCCGTTATTTCCCGATCATGACAAGGAGCACACGGCGAGTGTGACCGGTGGCCGGTGGGCAGGGAATGCTCACTCCTCCATGGCACATGATCCCACCTCTGATGTTTTAGAGGTCCATGTTTGGCTCTGCTCCTGATTTTTATTGTTTGAATGAACTTTGGAGCTTGAATACTGTTCTTTATCTCCATATATTTCATGTAATATAACAAAATAAACTGATAGATGAAGATATATTGCTCAAAAAGAAGAGGAATTGGACGATCAGGGATAAAGCAGAATAATAAAAGATTCAGTACATGATCGTAATAAAGCCCCACCCTAATTTCAGAACCCTCAATCCAGGAACCAAGAATTTCACAAATTGGAAGAGGCACCATTGCACATCAAAAGCATGCACCAAGTTTGGTTGTATAATACCCAGGAACAAAGAAGATTTTCAAAGAATGAATACATTCTCACTATTAGATCAATAAACCTAACATCATAACCCCTAACCCAGGGACCATGAATTTAACAGTTTTAAAGAGGAATCATAATTGTTCATCATAATTTTACATTTAGATTGTTAGCATAATTCTCAAGGGCAGAGTAGCAGATTTGTCAAAATATTAATGTATTTTCACTATTTCATTATTATAGCCCAACCCTAATATCACAAGTCTTGACCCGGGGGCCATGATCTTTTATAATTGTGGTCGAGGGCTTAATACTTACTATAATAAAGCCAACAGTTTGATTGCATTATGTACAGGAGCGAAGAGCAAGATTATGAAGATTGCATTGATTTCGATGGTTTTGCCATACCAATCCTCCCCCGCCCCCCCCCCCCGGGGGGGGGGATGAAATTCTCAAGTTTTGTTTCCTTTCGCCAATTAATGTTATGTATAAAAATTTGTTGAGAAGATGCTGAAAATGTTTAACTTTATTGCACGACGAGCGACGCTCGACGGACGACGTACGACAACAACAACACCCCCCCCCCCCCCTAAAAAAACAACAGGTAGCAATAGATCACATAAGTGACACAGGGAACCTTAAATGGTTAAAATTCATTGTACATCCTAAAGATGAAAATAGAATCATACATCTTGCAAATGATGATAATGATTTTTAAATAGTTAATTGTATAATTAACTTATATGAAATGTGAAGATATTAAACAGTGATCATGTTCAAAAGTCTAATTATACAATACAGATTGTGAGCAGGGCTAACACGAACCTCTGAAAACAGAGATGGAATCACGTGCTATGGAGGAGTAAGCATAACCTGTCGACCGTTCACAATCGCCGTGTGCATGGCCTTTGTCATGATTGGATAAGCAGAAAAATCCTTTGGCAATTCATAGGCAAAAATGGTCTTGCAATGCTTGAAATATGTCAGTCAACATTTGACATAACGATAGATTGTGTATACAAACATTACATTGTCCGTAGAATTTGCGAAATGTTGACTTTTCTGTCGTGGTTTTCCCCTATTTTTGTATCAATAAACCATTGATACTTACATATATAGGGTTTATATCTCCTATTTGATTTGGTACGCAAGAGCATATTCTTTGTACAAACAATTTCTAAATTAAGGCAAGCTACTGACAATTGAATTGATGATACAATGATATTAGCAATCTTTTCTAATGTCAACATTTCGAAAAAAATTCTATAATGGATATAATGAGCTTGTTTGCAAATGCTATCTTCAGTTCGATCGAATGTTTACTGACGTTTGTCATACAAATTGCTAGGCTTTTTTTTCGTACTGTATTTCTTTAAAATAGATTTTTCGTTTTTATCCAATTGAGGGTTAGGGGCACACGGCGAGTGAGACGGGTTGAAAGTGGATACTCCTCCATGGCACCTGATCCCACCTCTGTTTTCAGACGTCCGTGTTGTTCTTCTCATAATTTGTATTTTTTAATTGGACTAGTGAGCATGTCTACTGTTTGTCACTTGATACAATTGAGCAATTTATGTAACATGTCTTTTTATATATTCAGATGTTCCAGAAGGTGATTTAATTTGAAATAATTTAACAAAAAAATCTAATAAATTTCATCATTGCATAATTGACCTTTCTCTGGTTAGGGAGAAAGAAAAAAAATGACATTGTCTGAAATAATAAAAGGAGAAATTATGTCACTATAAGTTAAAATCCATAATCGAAATAGAAACCCCTAAAACATCTAATATCAAACCCGTTTTTTATTGATGTTTGATGCACATATAACTTTTTTTAATTGAAATTAAAACAAATATTTTAACGAAATATGGTTATGAACAACATAAATCAAAACGTTTTCTGTGACAATAACAATTATACACAAGCATAAATTTTAAAGGAGGAATAATACAAAGTCTTTTAATGGTAAAGTATCGGTATTTGAGGAAGTGGAAAGAAATACGTACATTTTTCTGTTGATTTCAGCTCATCTTCCAGTAAGGTTCCACCTTTGATTAAAATGTTTTGAGAAACCGCACCTAATGATAGTATAAGATTCGATAAAATATCGAGGTAAGAGTAAGAAAAATATCAGTTAACATAACTAGAAACGTTAATCGAAGGAATTATTTCAGTATAATTTAGCAGTTATGTAAATTGTGCAATGTATTTGGAGTACACATCAGTTTTTACAATGTTTCGCTATACACCTATTGGAAAATAAGACCACATCCCTTAAGATGTTTTTGAAGAAAAATATACGCTACAATAACGATACACTATGGAATCATCCTTATTCGTGGGGAACCAATGTTCGTTGACTTCGTAGGTTACCCTTACCCACGAATTTACATCCTGCAAATGACTATTTGATCAAAGTATTGATGAATTGAATTTAAATTGAAAATAAACAAGTCAAAAATTACGCGTGAAACATTAACTTCTTTAACGTCTTGAATTAAAATGATTCCAATTATTTAATGATATTGCACAGATATATATATATGCAGTATATATATATATATATAGAGAGAGAGAGAGAGAGAGAGAGAGAGTAACTCTGAACATGTGTTCTGTTCTTATGAGGGGCCACACGAACCTTTGGTCAGGTCCAGGAATTTGTTAGAACTGTTAACGATAGCGTCCACCCTGGTATCAGTTATGTCCCCTAACATTCCATGAACAGTAATTTGTCCAATTTTGACTGTAAATGATGAGGACTGATTTATACTTGGAGTCTTATTCCACTCACAACCTGTAAATTAAAGAGGGTGCTAATTATAGATCATACATGCGTCTGTGGGTTATTTTATTGCATCCAGGAAACTTGTAATTATTAATAATAAATATTAATTTAATACACATATATGATTATGGTTTTTTTAAACTTTAGTTTTATATTTGCTTTAAATGTCTTTGAATAGAATAACGTTTATAAAACAAGATTCTGAAAAAAAAAGTTTTCTATTATAGCACATCGCTGTATAAAGTTTGATGACTATCGAGCAAAGGGTTCATAAGATACTAAGTGAATCCATTTGATTCCAATCTTAGTATACTTTTAACTTCAAAATAACTGCTCTTTCATACTTATCTTCTTTCGGCCACTTTGCGTATGAGTTTTGATATTACTAGGTGAAGGTTTCTAAACACGTTAACAAAACGCACGTTTTTGACAACGAGGAAGGTTAATTAATTCATAAGGGACAACCTGGGCGTTACGTTTGCAAAACAAAAGGTTTTCATAATAAAGGAAGAAAACCACTTGTTTAGCAAAGAGAAACAGTCAAAAGTAACAGGCATCTTTTTTAAAAAAAAATAGAGACATATTAAAAAAAGCCAGGAAACAGTAAAAATCCAAATTGCATAAACGAAATTGTGTGAAAACACTCGTAAAAAGGAAATTCTATTTAATGCTTTTATTCTATAAAAGCAATCTATATTTATCCTAGTTAAAAAAATTAATTAACCTGGTTTAATAGAACACGAAGTAACGTTGTGTTTTAAATGACTCTCGAGAAAACAGTACCAGGACGGTCTGGACGCCATGAACTCATCCAGAAAAGAATTTGCAGACTGTCTATGGTCACAGAATATGATGGTCCTTATTCCACTCTCAGGGAAACGTTCAAAGTACTCATTGATTGCACTAACCAAGGCTTTCACCTGTTGAGTCATTGTAACACCATCAACACAGGACAAAGCTATGGACCGGAATCGTTGTTTCTCCATTGTACTTAGACAGAGGTGATAAACTGTCTTCAAAGACTCTAGTGGGACTTGAGATCTTACTTTTGGAGTGATGATGTGTAACAAAGACATACAGGTCCTTAGCTTTCCGGCCCCCGTTGACACCACTGTCCAATCCACGGGCTCCCCGGCTTCTGATGTGTTCTCTCTGCATTCCTTCAAAATCAACTTCCCACCTAAAATTCAGGGACATTTTAAATCCATTCAGATTACAGTTTTTTTATTTTGATCTAAATTTATTTCAGAATATAAACTATTCAAATCAATGTAAGATACAATAGGATAGTTAGGTAGTACCTGCTTGATATACCAGCTTTGATTGTCTACCATTTGGCTTATATTCTTTATTTGCATAAACAACCATGACGTCACATTCAACGTATTTAAGACTTCCTGCCATTACAATTATCTTTCTACCTATCGCTTGAACGTCTGTGATACATTTCAGGTTGACAACGTCCATTTTACAATCAATCTGAGTTTCTAATGCCAAACATATATCAGTAAAACTTTGTCTATACTTTGAGGGTATTGACACGTGATGTTGTTTCCATGCGATAGACTGTACAACGTCTGCAACCTGATCTCTGAAATGTAGAACAGAATCATATTTGCCTTTAACCCTGAGGGCACAAAGTTTGGAGTTTGTCAGAGAAACAACATCGTTCTTCTGAGAAAGGGCTTTAATGTCATCTGCCTTGGTCTTTAACAGATATCTAAATATACAAGGTCTGTATAGGTCTACCACTTCAAAAGTTTGGCTCCTGGAGAGAATAATTTCAACCTCCTTCATAACTGTTTCAATGTGATCCACCACACATACAATCCGAACCGCGAACTCCACCGGCACGTATTCAATTTTAACAAGACCGGCAAACTTGCTCTCTGTTTGTCTAAACATAGAACTATACTCCAATGGACTTATTGAACCTTCAAAATCGCCTTGGAGATCAATGTATTTAACAATAATTGTTGTTTCCAGAAGATTCTGGGATTTATTTAAGTCATTTTCTGTGAATGCAAATAACTTGACTGCATCAGCAGATGATGTGTCGATATAACACAGGGCATTTGAAGCCCTGATTTTTTGACCCAGAATCCTTTTGGCACTACTTAGTCCAATCAGATATCGTTTTTCTGGAGACAAGCTGCCTACAAGTCTCTCTTTGATGCCATATCGTTCGCTGGAGATAACCATACAGGCGGAATGCAAGGCCTCTTCACTTCCAAACAACTGAATTTCATTTTTTGTCAAATTTAATGATACCTTTATGTTTTTCACTTGTTTTGTGATTTCTTTCTCGATGTCAGAATTCACCAGAAGAAAAACTTCGGAACATGATAACCTGATAACTTTCTGTTTTTCTTGAGATAAGTCTGCTGTTAATAAATTCTCTATTTCCATGATGGCTCTCTCGACAAAGTCACGTTCACCAACGACATACACCTTCCTGGAGTCTACATCATATTTGATGCGGATCTTCTGTAAACTTTCCAGTCGTTGTGAGATGTGGGAATATTCACGAGACTCTAGGGGCGTTGAACTAACAGATATTGTATTAACAAAGTGTTCAAAACATCCTTCTACATCTTTTTTCCAGTTTAATATGTCTCTGTAAAATAAAGACTGATTTCTAAAAATTGGTCAAGTAACAACCGTGTTAATTCTTTTTCTATTATTAATGAACAATTTTTTTTATTTAGTTTACAAAAGACAAGAATGATATAATTGATACTATTAGGATTTATTAAAATGACTTATATTGAAAGTGTACAATTTAACTTATCTCAGTACGGATGTACCTGGCGGGGTCAGTACATCGGATGTAGAGTTCAGTGTCAGTAGTGTCTGGCCACTCCACACAGGCGTAAAACACACGTAACTCCCTCTCCAGCTCCTCCTGGACCCAGTTACAGGACAGAATAAACTCAAGCTTTAAACTTTCGATTTCCAATGAGATACATCTAGTGGAAAGCGAAAGTGGGAATCCCCCTGACACTCGAATTGAACCAATTCCATTCATGACTAAAACGTTTAAATCATTTTTCTTTTTGGTTAATCGGTTTTGTTTCGATTTAAACAATATCTGTTTTTAACAGGTTTGACTGACCCGGAAGATAAATCATTATCACACACAAGTAGATAACACTATTGCTATATTTTATCAGGTCTTTTTTCATTGCCTTGGCGGATCACGCACCAGTGTTATTCAAATACCACCTATTTTGTTCTTATGCCTGATATTGTTGCATATATCCAAGATCACTTTAAACGTACATACTTAAATACAATTCATTTTTATTTACTTTTTTTGAACGTCAAGATTTCTCCCCTCAAATGCTATTATAATCACCACTTGAGCACAAGTACTACAAACAATGTAAAATAAATGAACACACACATTTAAAATTATTTAAATTAATTCAATGAACATTTATATATCTGCGTAGCGCAAGTTCTTGCAATCATCAGTAAAAATGTACGAGAAATCAAAACGTATACATGTATTCTGATGTTCGGCCAAAACTCACACCATTCAATCAGAGACAAATATTGCTCCCTGCGCGTTAAGAGAGAGAATACACTGTTTGGCATCATAATTCTTAAAATTATCCTAAATAAACTAGTGTAAATTATTCATTGTGCTGGATTTTATATAATTTACTTAATATGTAAAAACCCTAAAAAGTGCTGGTACCCAATTAAATCAGGTAACTTTTGTGCACTTTTAATTCGCGCAAACCATGTAGCACGTTTCGTGTTAACCATGCAGCGTTTCCTTTTCATGTAAACTTTGCAGCGTTTCGTGCAAACCGCTTCCCGAGCGTATAAGAAGCGAGTGCGAAATGTTCAACTTTCGTACATGAACCGTGTGAGAAAAGTGTACTAGTAGATTCATACGAATATGGCTATTGTGGGTCAAAGATGTCAAAATGCACTGTTTATAACTAATATGGATATTTATCATACCGGTGGTATTTTAAGAATGAAAATTATATATATATATATATATATATATATATATATATATATATATATATATATATATATATATATATATATATATATATATATATATATATATATATATAGGGGAAAAAACTTAAAAAATCTTCTTCTCAAGAAAAACAAAACAATAATAGGTCATATTTATATGGACCTTTCCTCGGGTAGTATACATTCAGATTTGTTCAAATCATGACCCCCGGGAGTAAGGTGATGCCACAATGACCTACATTTTCTGGATGATTGACCAGGTTAAAGCATTTTCTGGATAAGTGACTAGATTTAAGTTTTTAGATAAGTCCATTCCCAAGCAGCAAGCCATATCATACCAAAATTGCATAAATGTTGCATCTAGGGATGCACACTACTAGATTATTAGTTTAGTGTGGGACTTTGCCTTACTTAAAGACAACATTCGTTGAGGTGAGCTCTGTAATCTCTGATTACTTATGTTTGTCCTTCCTGGCCACAGTGCTCAGGGGAGCAATATATGAGCTTCTTGTTCTGGTAAAAATTCAGCTCGTTCACAATTTCAACTCCACCACCACAACCTCAATTTTAACCAAACTTGCCAAGAGGCATTATTAGATTAAGTGCATTCAAGTTTGATCAAATAAAGGACCACACCCTGTCTCAAGGGAGATAATTAAGTATGGGTGAAAATTTAAAGTATCTTTTGAAGTACTCTTGCACCAGGAGAGATAAAACATATTCGAAAGCCTAATTACATAGTGTACATATTTATTTTCTCAATTAAGTGTACATATCTATTTGTTCAATTAATCATGAATCTTGAAATGGGGCAGCATACAAGAAGAAATTAAAATTTTACTTATCAACAAAACTTTACTTGGAAATTTATTGAAAAAAAATTGTATGAACAGAAAAGCCATGTCTTATAAGTCAAAACTTAAGTTTGTTCGAATCAGGGAACTGGAAATAGGATAGGGAGGACACAGTATATGATCAAAGTTTTATTTGGGAATTGTTTCATTATTTTACAATGTGAGGATAAGTATTTATCACAAATGTTTTCCTCCTCTAAACAGTCAACAAGACTCATTGAAACGACGCAATCATGCAGAAAGATTGTCACTCTAAATGATGCCTCAGGAGAGATAGAAATCAAGTTCTGGGGAAACAAAACGTCTCTAAGTCCTTTTGAAGGGGGAACACATCTTACAGTCACAGCAGTCAAAGTAGATTATTATGCAGGGCGCTGCTCGTTAAATTCAACACCATCAACAGCAGTTCAGGTTTTAAATTGATCAAAATATTACTAAACTTGCACTGATACATTAATTATTTTTATTGATTAATCATTCATTATTCATTTATTATATCCCTTTCCTAAATTTTTTTTACTTATTTCAAATTTTTAACAACAGAAACTTGAAAAAGAAATATTTTATTTCTAAACAAATTTTTAAGAAACATAGTTCAGGCCAAAAAAAATTGTGTGTTTCCTATTACATTGAATTTTTAAATAGGGTAGGTAGGTAGGTTGTTTTTTTGTGGGTTTTTTTTTAACAATATTAGGGTGAGGATTGAAGATTAAATATCTATTGAACATTATGAACTTGAACATGATGAATGAAAAATAGCTAGGTTTAATCAAGGTCTAACCTAGGCCTAAAATTTAGGGACTCTTCGTCCCTCCCTGAAAGCAAATTAGGGAGAAGTTTTAAAAATAAAGGGTGGCTTGATACAGCTATGATTAACTACTTTTACTTCCCCCCATTTTAAAACATTAAAAAAATCAGAAATTATTAATAAAAAAAATAATTTGAATTTGTAAATAAAGGAGATGGGCGAACATAGCGTGCAGAAAGCCTATAGCTTCAGATATATAAAAATCATGTTCAGTTTGTGAATTTAGTATTTAGAGTAAAGTTCTCCTTATTGAAATTTATAAAATTATGATTAAAAAAAATTTTCTGAGGAAATTTTCTCGGCAAAATTTATTCTTTTATTAAAAAAATTAATGTGGTATTCGTGTGGTTCGAACCCTAGCAATAAAAATCCTGAGTATCATTTTCTTTCGAGACTAGCACGCTAACCACTAGACTACACAAGTCCTGATGAAGTTTGGCATTTAAATCATGTTTGTGATATGACCCTTGACTTAATGGACTTCAAGTATTTCTCGAGAAGCTGCGAATGTTATGTCATAAAAGTATATTTTTAATGTATAGTGGGTAATTGCTCAAAAATTTTTGGTAACTAAAAAATGTACATTTTTATGCAAACTTTGAGGATTAACTTTCAAAAAGGTGGAACGAAGACCCACTCATATCGAAAAATAGTATTATAGTATGAGAAAATGACTCTTTTAGCCCGTTTTTGTGTGTGTCTAATATTTCACAGGCAAATAATTTCAATCTTTGCGGGATTTTTGCAAATTGTAGAGATTTTACATAAAGTATATTTTTATGTTAGACGAAATATCAAGGAAAATTTTGATATAATTGAAATTTAATTTTTCATCTTCATGTTTGTCACACTATAGGCTTATCGCTCGTCATGTTCACCCATCTCCTTTCATTCAAACTACCCAAAGAAAAAATCAATATGCAGCAAACCGTAATTGTGGTTCAACGTTTTTTAGATATAATTATTACCCAAAAAAAGTTGGGCAGACATTTTCCTTCTGAAAAGTAATTGTTTTCTTAAATATTTTTGATCGGTAACAAATGAATTATATATATTTCCCTTACTAGGCATATGTTATTAAATCACTTCACTTTGTTGCATAATACACCCATATCGGTCAAGTTATTAATATAATGATTTAATGACATTTTTGTTTGTTTACTGATATTAGTCTGACCCATACCTATTTACGTCCGTGATACATGTATAAACAGTAAGCTCTTTGACAATGTTGTGATGTCTGTATTTCTTTTCAGTATAGCATTTATGTGTCTTAAATGGCATGAAAATAACTTAATACTTAATTTCAAAACATCGGTCATCATTTATTAGATACTAGATGTATGTTGCATCACTAATTTAATACAATCCCCATGTTCATTCTTACTGACATTTTCAGGCTTACTTAGCTGTGAAAACGGCTCTACAGGAGACAATTCGTTACATTTTCCTCTATAATTAATTTGAAAAGGATAATCTTATGATTATATTAATGACATGAAACAGCAACGAACACAGACTTCTTGCAGTCAACAAGTGATTACGATTACATAAGAGAAAGAGACAGTCATCCAAAACTTGTAATTTTCCAGAAAAAAAAAAATTGTAAGGTCGGGAATTTGGCTGAAAAAAAATAGGGTAGGTCGGGTAACCGGAAACAAACATTTTTTTTTTGGCCTCACATTCAATGGAAGTATTTCTCCCATCTCTTATAAAAAATTTTAACAGCTGAAGGAAGACTTTGATAGTTTACAAGGCGAGATAGAGGCAGCATGTTTTGATGAGTATGTTTATATACTTTCATTTATTCCATCTCTGTCATTTCAGTTAAATATGCTATTAATTTTACATTTTATACAAAATTTCTTATATATCTACAGTTTATAGTAAGAAATATTTTTAAAAATTACCAGTTTAAGTCTTCTGTGCGGAAGATAAATAAATTTCTGTTATGTATCTTTATGCTTCAATATTTCATATTTTATGTTCATGGATATAGGAATTCCTTGCTTATTCACCTATTAAAATTTATCTTTCTAAATATAAATTCATTTGATAGGTTCATTGTACAAAAGAATCTTCATTATATAACCACAATTTTTAATGTGTAATGCAAAGAGTATTTTTACCTTTTTAATAGTCCAGAAGATTAGTGCATAACAATAGATTAGAAATAACACAAAGAATCCCATTAATCAGAGTCACTTTTTTCTATTTTAAGTGACAATTTGTCCATCATGGTAGGAAACAACATATTCAACATAAGTGACACCCTTCTGCGAAGAATTTTTCCAAATCTGAAATTCTGTCCTGGAAAAACACTGATGGCAATTACTTCATCTAATCAAATCACAGACTTGTAAGTATTTTAATACATGTACATGAAGTCATTCTCAATTCTGTAAAATGCAAAACACATACATACATATTAAATGGTTTAGCTTTTCGTCACTATCAACAAGAATTTTCTAATACATCTGAAATTTATTTCAGGGTGGAGGTAAACAATGATCATGAAGATTAAGATGAATACTTCCTACCTATCGTTTCAGAAGTAAAACCGCTCCAGAAGAGTGTTTTTTATATTTGGATTATCTACCTGAGTCAATGACCTTTCCAATGACCTTCAACTGTACTATTTATTGTAATTGTATAAATCTCGGTCTTAGAGAAACTAGTCATGATATATCCATCAAACCTCTTACACTTGTTACTAAGCTGCAGAACTGTAGCATAATGATTTTATATTTTAATCTTTGACCATAATGTTACAGATCACATGAAGCAAATTTTGTGCAATTTACAGCACAAGACTTCCTTTGCAAGGTTGGGGAGAATTTCTCCACTTTTCAGCATTGGCCAATCAACTACCTTTCACTCCCTAATTCTCACCCTTTATAGTTGTCTCTACAGACTAATTAACTAATTTCTTTTTGAATTTTTGTCAGATGGCAGAAAATTCAAAACAAGCAAGTTTATTGGTCTGCAGAGACAATTGTAAATGGTTAGGACGTGAAAAAAAATACAATTTGGGAGTGAAAAATATTTGATTGACCAATGCTGAAAAATGAAGAGATTCTCCCCAGCCATGCACTGCAAATCTTCTGCTGTATATTGCACAATAATTGCATTATGGGATCTGTAGCATTAAGGTCAAAGATTAAAATATAAAACCATAATTCTGCAGTTTTCAGCTTATACAATTATACAAATTTTCGTGTTCCATTCAACACTGAACCCTGGGTGGAGCATTTACCGTATATACTCGCCTATAAGTCGGTCCGCCTATAAGTCGGTTGTATATTTTTAGATTATTTTGGAGGGATTTGCCATTGACCCGCTTATAAGTCGGTACAGCTTTTTGCAAGAATATACTGACAATTTCAAACCAATGCTCTTATGTTTTTACTTTTGTTTCAAATATTTTTTTTTAAGAAATGACGCCAATATTCTGTTTTCTCAACAAATAAATTCTGTATCAATACTCTAATGAATTTACTTTTGTATAAATAATCTACCAACATTCCGATGATATTTATGAGAAACTTTATGATTACTTGTACTTTATGCATAATCTTAGAATACGTCAATAATGTGTCCAGACATTTGACAAAGATAATCGTTGGAAGTGATTAAGAAATACTACATTTCGCATTTCAGAAAAATACCAATCTTTTTATGACTCGCCTATAAGTCGGACACAGAGTTTTGGACCAAAATTTAACTCCCAAAAAACCGACTTATAGGCGAGTATATACGGTATGTCCTATGGACTTAATCTATAATAGTATATTGAACAATCATCTTTACTTGTGATATTTAGCAACCAAAACGAAAAAATTTTCCATAAATTTTAAAAAAATAATTGCTGAGCTTTTGCCAAAACTGTAAAATTCATAGCTTCTTCAATTTTTTCCTAATATTTTGATAATGCATTGCTTCTAAAAATCTGTACTCATGGACATTTACAATGCAAAATCCTTAAAATAAAAATCATAAAATTTTGAACCTCCCTTTAACATTGTTCAGGTGTAAAAATTAAGTTCATTTTTACACCTTTACTTAAATTACAAAATCATGGCTTAGGTCCTGTTTTCAAGCATTTAAAGGATCGATTAAAAAGTTTATATTGTTTATGATTCCAACTAGACATGCATTGTTCCAATATACTGAAACGGAAAATGTACACTTTTTATCCGAATTTAAATGAATACTTGTGCTATTTAGTTATTTACAACCTTGCCTGAGTTACTGGATTGTGGCAGTATGTTTTACATGTACTTGCAATTTTTTTTAATCTCTCCACTTTGATTGTAGTGTACAATTGTAGAACACCCAATTATATGGCCATTTTTTGTAACATCATACATGAGTACACGTATTAATTATGATACCATACTTGTATGTTAATGACTAATCATTGTAACCATCATCAATCTTTTTTTTTATATAAAGAAACATTCGTTGAGTGTATAATATCTGCATTTTTTTATACACATGTAAATACATATTTACTCCCAGTTTCCTAACTGTTAATCATCACATAAATCATTTGCATATATGTATAAGTTTAATGTCCTATTGTATTTTCAATACTCTTAAACATTTTGCATGACTCTATGAGGCATGATTCATGTCAAGAACCCTCTTTACACTAATTCCATGATATATTTATTTATCCAGTTGGAATAATCTCCCTTTAAATATTAGTCCCCTTTTTTTTGTAAAGGTACACATGCAAGCAGCAACAGGGACACCCCCCCCCCCCCATTCGGTTCCAGTGCCAAGTTATGGACAATTTCAGGATTTTAAAATGAAATTTTGTCCTCGAAGGATCTAAGAAACGGCTAAAGATATGAACTGGAGACTTGTTAGAGATGATAGACCATGACTTCTGGATGTTCGAAATTACCTTGGTTTTCGTCGTCAATACTTCCGGTCGTCACCGGAAGTGTTCAAAGAAATCGTAAATTTCAACTTTTCTTTTTTTAATAAAATCTTGCATCACATTATTGCAACTCTTTCGCAGTTTCGAAATATGTTGGTCCCACCGGAAACAAAAACGACAACTTCCGGTTATAAGAGAAAAACTACATAATTTAAGTATTTTACTTTCCCATAAATATCTTTTATAGGTAAAGTATTTGAAATGATTTTTAGACGTGTTATTCAGATTGCAAATGTCTAGAATAACGTCAAATATCTTTGCAAAATTCACTTCCGGTCGCGTGCTTTTCTGTCCTCAAAGTGAGAAAATATCTGAGCGAGATCTCAGAAACGGTAAGAGATTAAGACAACAAATTTATAGGAGTAATAGATCTTGAAGAGTAGGCAAAATCATTTGGGTTAATCTGTCAGCCGTCACTTCCGGTCGTCACAGGAAGTGATCAAAGAAATAAAAAAATTCAACTTTTCTTATTTAAATTAAAACTTGCATCACTTTATTGCATCTCTTTCGCTGTTTTGAAATATGTTAGACTCCTCCGGAAACAAAAACGTCAACTCCCGGTTTTAGGAGATAAAATACGTTATTTCGATATTTAAATTTCTCATAAATGTCGCTTATAGAAAAAGAATTGAAATGTTTTAATACATATTGTAGATACTGCAAATGTCTAGAGACACGTTAGAGATTTTTTTTATAAAATTCACTTCCGGCCGCGTGTTTTCCTGTCCTCAAAATTAGAATTTGTTCTCACAATTGCTCGGCAACATTAAACGACTGAAGTCTGAATCTTTCAGGACTAATAGCCCGTTATCTGTTTATTTGCATCGTATGAAAATCGTGCGTCGCCGTTACTTCCAGTGGTGATAGGAAGTGATGCAAAAAAGTGAATGGTTAATGGTTAGCACGTTGGATTTTCACGTTGACGACAAGGGTTAAATCTCCAGAGTGTCTGATTTTTTTTAATCACTTATTTAGCTTGAATTTATGTTTTCATTTTCAAAATCGGACGGAAGACCTCTCATTGCTCGCAATGAGTTTCTAGTTATTATTATTATTCTTATTTTTTAGACGAACAAACTGTGACGTCATCTGATTCTGAGGACGATACAGCAAATTTTGTCCAAGCAATATCTCGAGAACTATTCAGTGGTTTTTCGTCAATCTTTCAGGGATAACGCGCCAGTTAATGACATTGTTACATTAAAAAGAATTTTGGAAAAATTCGCTTCCGGTTTTAAGTTATGGACATTTTTCTGATTTTAAAATGAAATATTGTCCTCGGGATATCTAAAGAACAACTAAAGATATGAACTGGAGACTTGTTAGAGATTATAGAACATGACTTTAAGATATGCAAATTGACCTTGGTTTTCGTCATCAGTACTTCCGGTCGCTACCGGAAGCGAATTAATCAAGTCAAATTTTTCAACTTTTCTGTTTTTCAATATTTTTCTATGATATTAGTAGGGTTAATAGAGACTCTTTTCAGAAGGATAAATATATAATTTTTTTTAAAATTGATAAATCCAAACTCTAGAGAATTTTTATAATCCCTTTTCTTTTGAACTCGAATTCTCGAAAACTATTCAAAGAATTTCTTTGAAATTTTCAGGGATAAAAGATCTTTATATGAGTTTTATATAAAATTCCGTTTTTTGGTAAATTCGGTTCCAGTGCCGAGTTATAGACATTTTTCTGATTTTAAAATGAAATTTTGTCCATGAGTGTTCTCAAGAATGGCTAAAGATATCAACTGGAGACTTGTTAGAGATGATAGAACATGATTTCTAGATTGGAGAGATCGTCGTTACTTCTGGGCGCTACCGGAAGCGAATTCAAAAAAATCGATTTTTTCATCTTCAATATTTTTCTGTAATATTTGTAGGGTTAAGAGAGCCTCTTTTTAAAATACTAAATATATAATTTGTTTTCGAAATGATAAATCCAAACTCTAGATATTCGTCATATTCACTTTGAAGCGGGAGTCCAAATGGCGTAATGGTTAGCGCTTTGGACTTTCACGCTGACGACAAGGGTTAAATCTCCAGAGTGTCTGATTTATTTTATCACTTTTTTGGCTTGAATTTACGTTTTCATTTTCAAAATCTGACGGAAGACCTCTCATTGCTCGCAATGAGTTTCTAGTTATTATTCTTTTTTTTAGACAAAATTTTGTGCACGCGATTTCTCGAAAACTATTCAATGAATTTCTTTGAAAGAGCTAAATCTACGAAGGGGCTTAATCGGCCCAGTCATCAAAATAAATGAAACTTTCTCACATAAAACTCAGGGTTAGGGTTAGATTTGTATGTTGTAAAACAATTTATTTTTTAACAATATCTTTTCTGGTTTTCTTTTTACATTCGTTTAAATTTGGTATTGTTTTCCTTATTAACACTATCACGTCATTATGTTGACATTACATACTTTAACGTCGTGACGTTGACATTTTGTATAAGAAAGTAACATATGTACGTTAATGGAATAAAAATAACCAATATAGGCTCTTCTTTAAAATTTTGGGAAAATTTTACTATGAATTTTTCAAGAAGTTCTGAAAACTTTTGGTTTACTTA